TAATTGTGTCAATTTTACCGAAACTTTTTGCATGTGAGTATTTTACAAGGCAACCTACCATCTAAATTATAGCTCCTCGACTAAGAGAGCAACGCTTGCGAAGCTGTAGGCTCGCTGTACTAATACAACTTTGGGAGTTTCACTAAAACACCCAAAATGGAGGTTGAAATTATAAAAAAACCTAACACCCAAAACACTTTATAAACACACCCAAAACCCATCATTACACACACTCAAAACCCATTTATAAACACACCCAAAAAGTTGACTTTGGGGTTGATTTTGGGTGTGTTTCTATGTTTAAATAGTACTTGGGTTTTTTTATAAATACATGTCTAGGATTGGGTTTATTTATAAATTGCTATACAACTTTTGCATGATCCGTAACGCGGGCTATTATGAATAAATTTCCAACATTGTGCTTGCCCGTACACATAATTTTTTATTATTTATTATAGATTTAGCTCCGCTGTTGATAACTCCACTTTCGTATTATGAGTTCGGAATGCCCTCCAAAGAAAGAACAAAGTAGTTTCCAAAGAACAAAGTAGTTTCCATCATATATTGCCCCCCAAAAAAATCAAACTTTAAACAAAAAATAATCCTGAAAGTTATTGATGAAACTAGAAACAAGAAAGGTTCCACATTTGGGCATCATTTGTTAAGATTTCAGAGGGACGGACCCTTGGCCCCACCATTAGCAACATAGATGTTGTCCCCAACTTAACCACCTGTTTAGCAGATGTGAGTTTTATACAAAAGACCTAGATGTTATTAGGAGTGGAACTATTTATTATATGAGACTTTCTATTTTGTTAAGTTTCCGATGTAGGACTCGTGTATTCTTCAACAGTCCTCCTCACGTGGGACCACTTTTTAGTGGGCCACACGTGCAACCAATTTTACACCGGTCACTTAAATATTGAGAGTTTTTTTTGTTTGATTTGAGTTTCATCGGGGCCAGTCAACCGACTTGGCTCTGATACCATGTTAAGATTTCATAGGGACTAACTCTTGGCCCACCACTAACAACATTGATATTGTCCCCAACTTAACCATATGTTTAGCAAGTGTGGGGTTTTATACAAAAGGCCTCAATATTATTAGGAGTGGAACTATTTATTATATGGAACTTTATATTTTGTTAAGTTTCCGATGTGGGACCCGTGTATTCTTCAACATCATTCACAACCTACTTTTAATAAACACAAATGCCATTCCCTACTTTGGTCGCACATATTCTGGGTAACCAAGCAAACCCATTAATCTGATAAACCAAATAATCGAATCTTATTTTTCTAAGAAGACATTAAAGGAGCGATGCAGAACAAATGTTTCACCTTGGATCATTCCCAAATCAAGTTGTGTGGTCGATGGAGACAGCAAGCAACGAGTTTCGAAGTATTATAATTATTGGAATTTTTAGGTTGAAATGGAGAGAGAGAGAGAGAGGAGAGAATAATTAGTGTTTATTTACGAAATGAGAATTGATAAAAATACTTGTATGTATATGGAGTAGATATTATCGAAAGGCGGGACCGAGACGCCGCAGAAAGAGAAGTCAAGAAAGAGAAGTTGGGGAACAGTGAAAGGGAATATGAGGATTGATGACGACGTTGCAAAGGGCCAAATTGGTAAGTGACGGACGTCACGAGGCTTTGTTCAGTGTTTCTGTCGCCATGTTCAGCCCACAAAACGCAGACTAACAGTGAAAGCTCTTTAAACCATACAACTTTGGACTTTTTTGTTTTTTCTTTGTTGATTAATCAACCACCATGAGATTTGAACACCTCAAACGAAATGGATTACTACTATAGGAAATGATGAACAGTTATTTACACTAACATCCCTTGAGGGTTTCGGTGTTTTCAGAAAATCTCATGATGTTTCAAAACTTTCATGAATACGCCCTAAGGTTTCAAATTGTTTTCACAAAACACATTTTTATTGATTGTTCGTCCAAAAAATGATGATTTTATAAAAGAAAACTTATGCAAATGACAAAATTAAAGTCAATGAATGTATTTGCAATCAAAGTCTAAAATATAGATTGTATCGGAAATATCGGCAGTCCAAAAACACAAAAATTTCTATGGAAATATCATATATTATTGATATCAATAAAAATTGAATAAAAACCACATAAATTATAAGAAAAACTTGAAATTTTTTATTGAAACTTTGGAGGATGTTTATTCAATTAATTATCTATTAGTTTATCATAAAAAATTAGAAAGAAATGTATTGCATGATAGTTTATCCCAAACACTGTGAGTGTAGAAAATATATAGTAATTAATGAAAGAAGATTAAACACACCATAATCATTTATATATAATGATTTACTACAATATTTTACACTTTATACATTGCATGGTAAAATACATGAGTGACTTAGTATCACACAGAGTTCTTATGAGGTTCAAAATTTTTATTATCTTCATCATCTCTATGTGTAGAGTAAGTATATTGTGAAGAGTAGTTATCAAATGATAAATCCCCAAAATAGTTTTGCATGTAATTGTTCAAAACAAAATAATATAAATATACATATTTTAGCATATTATCACAAAAACATAAGTAACATGGTGGTTAAGGCGTTGGAGAAGTGAAATGGCAAGGATTTGAATCCCCTTGTGTGTGTGTTGTGTTTTTTTTTTTTTTTTTTTCTTTTTTTCTTTACATCGATATTTTTGATATTATAACGATATTTTGACAAAGTATTGCTGAAGTATGAGTGAAATTATTGACATCGATATTTTTTCGATATTATCGATATTTATACGATATGTGTATGGATACGTTCCGAAATATCCGTAACCCGAAAAAACGATAATATCCTCGATATTTTGTCGATATTATCAATGTTTTAGACTATGTTTGCAATTAATCTCAAAGACTAACTTTGTCATTTGGATAAATTATTTATATAAAATCATCAATCTTTAGACAAAATTAAACATCGTGGGATGTTCGTGTAATTTTTGAAACCTCATGGTTTTTTAAAAAACTCCGAAAACCTCAAGGAGTGTTAGTGTAAATAACTCAATGATGAATCATCCCATTTAATACTAATTAGATTAGTTCAGAGGCTGTATTTTATTTCAAAAAAGTTATATGGTTTATGGATTTTAATTGATTTCCATAGTAAGGGGCTTGTATAGTAATGGGCTTGTAGCTTTTGTATGAATTGCATATGAGGTCATGTGTTCGAATCCTCTGTTAGAGTATGTAGAACTAGGATTATGACAAGTATCACCTATAGATTGATGTTATGGAATTAGTTACTAAGCTATTATAATCCGTTAGAGCCTTATAAAGCTAAACAAGCTATAAAGCTTAATTCTCAGTAATTGTATAGTTATCTGAGAAATAATACAGAAAAGTCCATCTTCTTCTTAATTCTCTCTCTATTTCTCTTTCATTAACATCCCCTCCCCCAATATTGCTTGTGTCAAAAGAATTTCTTCCATGGATTGTAAATTGAAATGGTGTTTGTTACATTTTTATCATAGATTTTAGGATCAACTACAGAAAAACCTTCAAACTATGGATGTCGTTTCAAATTGGTAGGGGTTGCAGTTGGGTAGGGGAGATCTATAGTGGATGAGGTTGCGGCTGGGGTAGCGGTGGGTTTGGTGTGGGAGAAGAGTTGGGTTTGCATTTATTTGTTTTAATTGTTTAGAAGATAATATAAATTCTGTATTATCTCTTCTCCATGGAATCTAAATAATCTTTAACAAAAGTCTCCACAACAACATTTTGGTGAGTTTGGGTATGAGTTTGTAGAGTCTTCAAAATTCGGATACCAGTTTGAAAATTCAGGGGATTTTATGTAATTGATCATAGATTTTAATAGACTTCTACAAAGGAGCATTAAAAAAGGTTCACGTATGAACACACAATTAAAAACTCATGAACCACAACGTGACCATCAAAAGGCCTTGTCCTGCAAATTCTCCATCTACAAAGATGTATATAACTTAGTGTGCTACATCTAGAAATTACTTCCATATGAAAGCAATTCCACCATGGTGTATGTGGGAGCAAATATTTTCGTCTCCAATCACAGCGCGCCACGTGGAAAAGAAGATTATCTCTTAAATTAATTAATTGAACCAGTTTATCTGGCCAATTAATTAATTGGGATAAATATCTTAATTCATATGATATTATCTTTATTTAATAAGATAATATCATTAATTTAGATATTATCTTCATAAAAAGAGATAATATCATTTAATCATATATTATCTAAGTCTGACTCAATCCCTATGAATTTGGGTAGAGAATAAACTCAGCATATTCTCTACGAAACCCTAGTCCCGAGGCTCCTATAAATAGATGACTTCGTTCATCATTCAAGGTACATCTAAATCTACTCCTAAACCCGAGAAAAATACCCGAAGCTCTCTCTCCCTCTCCACTCTCCATATTTTCTCCACACAGCTCCGACCACCACACATGGCTCCGGCCGCCCGGTTCACACCATACATACAACTCTGTTCCCTTTGCTTAGCTATTATTTTCCTACAAACACTCGAACTAACTTAGGCATCGAAGGGTATTTGGCCAACACCCCCGGGTGTGGTCTATTTACTCCAGTTTTTTGTACAGGAAACGAGGAAGAGAGAGAAGGAAGATCGAAGGTTGAAGGATCTAGAAGCGAATATTCTCTCGCGAGATTATTTACACAAACATTTGGTGCTTTCATTGAGATCACGAGTTATACTCAACGCATGCTTAAGGAATCCGTTCCTCCTATTTTCCAATCCACCGAAGCCTTCCAAACAACCATGGTTGGAAGCAAACGCCTAAGGAGCAAAACCGCCGTGATGGCTCAATCCGTGACGGCCTAAAGCCACTCCACCCATGATCCCGCGATTGACATAGTGGCACCACCACCTCTCACCACCGTGCTACCTACCGAACTCGCAGCTGAGACCACTGCACTGGCCACTGCCGCCGAACATGGTGGAACCTCCCATCAAGGTGGGCTCACTACCACTGGCGACTTAGGCTCGGTCTTGGAGCAACTTCAAGCATTCCCTCCATTGCCTCCACGCTTGACGCACGCTCCTGCATACACCTCCAATGAAACCCTAGCCCGTGTGCAATTGGGCTCCACACATTTCTCTCATCCTGATCCACGAAGTCAAGTAGACCTTAATCTGAGAGTTGACCAACTAACTCAGAGAATGGACGACCAAAACAATTTGATGAGACAGCTCCTCAACCAATAAACTTGGCTCAAAACCTTAGCCTTGAACAACAGGGCGAAGAGAGAATGATGGACAAGCACACCGATAGGCAGTTCAATGGGAACCAAGCAGGTCAAGTAGGAGTAAGCAGACAAGGAGATGGACAACAATGCAATTAGCTTGCCGACAAGTCGCAAGCATCTGTAAGCCACAGTCAAAGCAAACGAAGTCTCCTATCCATATTGAACTTAAGGACAAACGTACGAGATAGGTTGGGCCCACAACTTGCCATCCACGCTCGCCTGGGCCCGCAGAGAAATATTCACATAAGGCTAGGCCCCTAGGGAGGTCAACCTAGTAACCCGCATAATGAGGACCATGAAGAAAGGCACTCCACTGACCGCTCTAGAAGAACCAATTCTCATCGCCAAGTTACAGAAAATCCATCGCAAGCATAGTCCACAAACACGCCGCCTAGGCAGCACAACCGAGAAGGTAGACCCTTGCAAACCAACGAGGAAGTTAATCAGCCTCACCCAAATCGTAAAGGTCATCAACGTGACCGACCAACCATGTGTGCGGCAGACATTGAGAAGCTTGTGAATAACCGACTTCGAGACTTAAAGATTGGCAAAAATTTCAAAGATGCACTACGCGTGGAGATAGACCGAGAAAACTCCTCACCTTTCACCGCCAAAATGGAGCAAGCTGCTCCCCCAAAATGATTCTCAACGCCCTCTTTCACATGCTTCAAAGGGGATTCCGATCCCGAAAGCCATCTAAAGCATTTCAAGAGCCTTATGATCATCTACAAAGCCGAATACGCGTTAATGTGCAAGGTGTTTGCAATGACTTTGCAAGGAGCAGCTCAGGACTGGTTCTATACCTTACTATCCAGGTCGATCAGCAGCTTCAATGAGCTTACTTACGTCTTCACTAAAGAATACACTTCTTATCAGACAATCAAGAAGAACCTTGACCATCTGTTCAACATGCACAAGAAGCCCGATGAATCCCTCCGAGACTACATCAAGAGGTTCAAAGCGAGAGGGCAAACATTGTAGGATGTGATGACCAAATTGCGTCATCCGCCTTCAAGAGGGGGTTGCCAATTGAATGTGAGCTGTATCGTGAGTTGACTATCTCTCCTTGCCAAACACTTGTAGAAGTCTTCGCTATAGCAAAGTGCTACGCACTATGGGACGACGACCGGATCGCCATGAAGAAGGCTGATCAAGTAGCTGAGTAGGCAAACCAAGAGAATGACAAGCGCAGATCACAGCCTCAGGAAGGTGCTCCAGCAGCGGAGAGCTACACCAAGTTCACTATCTCAATGCACCAGATCCTAGCCCAAGTAAAGGACATGCCTTGGTTGAAGAAACCATCGCCTTTAAAGGGAAACCCAGCCAAGAAGGAAACCAGTATATACTGCACATTCCATGAAAGGCACGATCATTACACAAATGACTACTTCGCTTGGAAAAGGCACCTCGAAAATCTAGTCAGAGACGGCCATTGCACGGAATTCATCGCAAGGAAGGCTATCCAGCAAATCAAGGATTGTGACGCAGCTAACAATGAACCTCTATGAAAAAAGTCATATGGATCAACACGATCCTAGCTAACTCCAAGAACCCGGACTGACCACTAGGGGCAGAAGATCAAGGATTGTCACACACATCGACACGTCTTCAGACTTAGGCCAAACAGGCCACTATCATCGACACGTCTCCGGACGTAGGCCAAACGGGCCACTCTCATCGACACGTCTCCAGACGTAGGCCAAACGGGCCACTATTATCGACACGTCTCCGGACGTAGGCCAAACAGGTCACACATCGACACATCTCCGGATGTAGGCCAAACGGGTCATACACATCGACACGTCTCCGGACGTAAGCCAAACGGGTCACTCTCATCGACACGCCTCCATACATAGGCTAAATATGCCACAACCCAAAAACACTCAAGCAGTTCACAAAACACTATGCGAATTGACGTCGGCCTTCCTTTTTTAGAGGGGTCCAACAGAACACTCCTTATGCCCAGCCGGTAGGTCATCAGAGTCTAGACCATTCTACTTCCATCTCGCAACATCCTGGGCAAAGGGCAGACCACCAACTTTTTCCAGATACTCGCTCAGAAGCAACCAGCAACCACCGCTGCTTCAATCGATCTTCGACCGCCAGTCACGACGTCAACCAGCCTGGTCCCACCTAACTGGTCCTCACCTTGAAAAAGAGAAGACGATGAAAAATATACGTGCTCGACTTACCTTGGGATGTATCTCAACTCCTCTCTTCCACAAGCAGTACAAATTCTCCAAGATCTTTCTCAAGCTAGAAAGTAGAGAAGTTAAGTTTGCGATGTAAGAAAGAGTGAAGAGAAGCCCTGTATTTGTACAAGTTGGACAACTCGAGTGAAGGAGGAATCGCAAGCTCATTCCTACTGGGAATCCAACTCCAACAATAGTCAGAAGCCTACACCAATTGGGAATCCGATTTGCAAAAATAGTCCAACTCCCGATAAAGTCCAGACACAGTTGGAGAGCCCGAAAAAAAATAATTTCATCTCCTACATGTCACATAAGCAACATGCAGAAGTTGGGGGGCATTTGTGGGAGCAAATATTTTCGTCTCCAATCACAGCGCGCCACGTGGAAAAGAATATTATCTCTTAAATTAATTAATTGAACCAGTTTATTTGGCCAATTAATTAATTGAGATAAATATCTTAATTAATATGATATTATCTTTATTTAATAAGATAATATCATTAATTTAGATATTATCTTTATAAAAAGAGATAATATCATTTAATTCAGATATTATCTTTATAAAAAGATATAATATCATTAAATCATATATTATCTAAGTCTGACTCGATCCCTACGAATTTGGGTAAAGAATAAACTCAGCATATTCTCTACGAAACCCTAGCCCCGAGGCTCCTATAAATAGATGACTTCGTTCATCATTTAAGGTACATCTAAACCTACTCCAAAACCCGAGAAAAATACCCGAAACTCTCTATCCCTCTCCACTCTCCATATTTTCTCCACACAACTCCGACCACCACACATGGCTCCGGCTGCCCGGTTCACACCATACATACAACTTTTTACTCTTTGCTTAGCTATTGTTTTTCTACAAACACTCGAACTAACTTAGGCATCGAAAGGCCTTTGGCCAACACCCCCCGGATGTGGTTTATTTACTCCAATCTTTTTTACAGGAAATGAGGAAGAGAGAGAAGGAAGATCGAAGGTTGAAGGATCTAGAAGCGAATATTCTCCCGCGAGATTATTTGCACAAACAGTGTAGGTGTAATGTATAGGGAGCTCAAGCTTGAGAATTCAGATAAAGGTCATGTTTATGCATCCGATAGATGTTAGCACCAAGTTTAAAAGATTGTCTCTAATTCTCCTCTTGTGATTGATTCAAGTTTTACGACACAAGTACAAGCTTTTCCTTTTACTTCGTTTTCCAGTCCATAAAGATCTCTTGATTATATCAATAGATATTGCTAAAGAATTTTTGGATTGTGAATGCTCTCCCTATAGTAGCTTATAGCTAAGTTTTAACTTCAAAATATTTATATATTTTATTGTATTGTTAAGTTAATCTCGATTGTGTATGTTCTAGTTAAGTGGGTCGAAGAAAATATGGAAAATAGCTCCATATATCCCCTTTTCAAAACACCAATATTCTTAAGTAGAGGTGAAGCAATTTCTTCCCACGTATGTCCTAGAATTTATCGATACAACCAAAATTTTCCCAACATTGTAAAAAAGATTTGATTTCCACTGGTTGTGTTCCAAAATAGAAAGATATAAGAGGAACTAAAAGCATGCAAAGATGACACACACAACTAGTATTGACATGTTTATTAATCCGTAATCAGAATCAAAATAAGGAGTTGGTTTCTATTCCCATTAGAGCATTTCTAGCAGTTAGCCTCTTGCCATGACAAGGGGAGCCCTAGGGCAACTACTATTCATGTGAATAGTGGCCTAGCCCCCCCCCCCCCCCCCCCCAGCAAAGTGTGTTTCCAGCAGTTTAGGCTTGCCATGGCAAATACTATTCTTTTTTTTTGTTTTTTTTCACAACTTTGTTTACTTAAATAATTAATTTGGATAATATTTTCGGATAAGATTGTTGGGTTCCTACGTGTCAATACTATTCATATCGGATAAGATTTTCGGTTTCAAATTTCAAATAAATTTCAAAATTCAAATTTCAGATAAATTTCAAATTTTAAATACATTTCAAAATTCAAATTTCAGATAAATTTAAAATGTCAAATTTCAGATACATTTCGAAATTCAAATTTGAAACAGTTGGTTAGAGACGATAGTTTCATGCCCCGTATGATTGATCGCTACACGGAGATGCAATCGTCGTATATTCATGAATGCCGTCAAGTTGACTTGATGGAGCATTTATGGGCGGTCAAAGACAATGTAGATGAATGAAGTGAAGTGAAGATGTTTTTTTTAATTTATTATGTTTATGTTGTATTTTTAGTTATGCTTTGTTTTTTTAATACTTTGGTTGTGGTTTGTTTATTTTTTATGCTTTGGTTGTGGTTTGCTTTTTATGTGTGGAATGTTTTTAATAAAAAGGAATTTTGTTGAATATTTTCTTTATTCATTAAAAGGAAATTAATACAACTAATAAAATAAAATACATGAATTACCACTAATTTTTTAAACAAAACAAAAAATATTGAGTAGAAAGTGAATAATAGTAGAAGGAGAAGAAAATGTATGAGGATTTGGTGTTAAAAGTGAAAAGTATTGGTTGGTATTCATAGGAAAAAAATTCAGTATTTTTTTGGGTATCTTTTTAAATTTTTTTCGATTTTTTTATTGGGAAAAAATTGGCTGCCGTTTGATTGGAGCAAAATTATGATCGGAGAGCCCAGGACACGACACGTGGCACATATTCGTTGGCAGACACTGTAGCGTTGGTGTTCAAATTTTTTTAATGTTGGCGCTTGCATTGCATGCGCTAATGTTAAAAAAAATTTGAGAGCCGCGCTGACGTCACAACGACGTTAGCTGGAGCTCGGGTCAGCCCAGTTCACTGGGTCCCACTCCTTGCCCGGGCTAAATTTTGTTGTTGGAAACATCATTTTGGGCTTCCCCCCCACAGCCCTCCCGTTGGTCCCCTTGCTGGAAGTGCTCTTACGGATTACTCATGCGTTAAAAATCAGAAATTCAATTCTCAATTTTGTGCCGTGTTTACTTAGAAGGAATGACAGGAGTCAAGAATAGGGAAACTGAAGCATTTGGGAATAAGGAATTGGAATTAGATCAACTACTCTCCCTAATCACATTGTGCTACGCATTTTAATTTTTCCACATGATATAGTGCTTGGGTTTTTTTATAAATACATGTCTAGGATTGGGTTTATTTATAAATTTGTAATATAGTAATTGGTATAAGATAGCAAAACAAGTGTAATTCACGTTTCACATGAGTTTTTCTGGTGTGGAGGCGATGCCCATTAAGCCAAGCTATAACCCAATAGACTCATGGGCCGTGGGCTGAATCACGACCAACTTTGATTTGACCTTGACCAGACATCAGTCCAAACAATCCCAGCTGACATGGCAGAATAGCGCACTTGTCACGTCTAAAGTCCAAAACAAACAACTGCTCTCTCTCTCTCTCTCTCTCTCTCTCTCTCTCTCTCCCTTTGCCTTCGCCAACTCTTTCTCCCCGCCATTTCTTTGCTCCGAAAAACAAGCAAAGCCTCCAAAACGCCTCACGCTCTCTGTTTCTCATGGCCTCACACCATCCCCGCCCACCCCTTTCACTTTCTTCTACCACATTCCCAATCCCTTTCTCCACATGCAGTACCACCGCGTCGTCTCTTTCAAACGATCGTAATCTGAAATCGAATCGATATATACATTTCGTATATCAATTCAATCGTCTTCTTCGTTCGGAGGCTGGGCAGGGCGGTCGATATGATCAGCAGAGACAGAGAGCAACTCAAAGATCTCTCTGTTAGGGTTTTCTCTGTTCTCCTTTTCTTCAGCTTCTTCAGCTTACCTCTGCCCCGAATTGCGGGACAGGACACGGCAAGCTATGATCTCGCCACCGAGCTCGTCTTGAGCCGCTATTCCAATCTCACCCCTGTCTTCAAAGACGAACTTCAGAGTAAATTTAGCTTCTGCATCGTCGACATGTCAGTTTACTTCTCTCTCTCTCTCTCCCTCTTTCTTTAAAAAAAAAATATTAATTTTGATTTGGTAGGGTGAAAATGTGTGTATTTTGTGTTTACTACAGAGACGAGGACTGGGATGGGGCTTTCAATTTCTCAAAAGACTCAAGGTTCATTTCCAACTGCGCTAAGAAAATGGAAGGTACGTGTGACCATTGTCTCAAAAATTATTATGTTGGTAGAGGCCCAAATTCGAATGTCATCTCCCTCATTGATGAAAGAGAAAAGAAAAAGAAAAAGGCTCGTACTTTTTTTGCGTCATTCTTACATTATAGACCCTCCTGGTGATAATGAATAACCAATTCATTTAGTTTCATTTTTCATGATATTTTAAGGTGGATCAATTGGAGAGGTTTTGGGCCGATTGTGCACAGCTGCAGAAATCAATCTGTATTCTGAAGGTTTATTGCACTCCGGGAAAACCAGTTACTTGAAACCGAACAAGAACTGCAATCTGTCATCGTGGGTTTCTGGATGTGAGCCTGGGTGGGCGTGTGGTTCTTCTGAGAAAGTTGACCCAAAAAATCGATCCTATGTGCCTGTCAGAAGTAATGACTGTGCACCTTGTTGTGAGGGTTTCTTCTGCCCTCATGGCCTTACTTGCATGCTCCGTAAGTACTTCAAACCTGTGTGTTTTTAGGATAACTAGTGTTTCATACTTTTTTTTGTGATTCTTGATTTCTTGTTGCTTCTTATGTAACATCTACCTAGCTTCCATTGACTTGTATCCATATTAATTGCCTAAAATGACAACGGATTCATCTAGTTTATCTTATCTGTTACTAATCTTTGTCAGATCTCCGATTTCAGTTATCTGTGCATGAGTATTACTGTCATTCCTCGTACATTTCAATAAATCATGGAGACCCAAGCAGTGAAATGAATGCGAAATGATCCTAATACCTCCACATGTGACTCACATGTGAATGCCCCGTTATACCAATTGACAGAAATTGGAGACTTGATTAAGATTGGTAACGGATATATACCACAAGGGTAGTCTTATCAAAATTAAAACCACATGACTTACCTTGACTGACTTTTGTGTTATCTTGGTCATCTATAAAAACTTTTGATCATCAATATGCATTTCATCTGTAAGATCTCATTTCCCAACATGTGAGATGGCATCTGGCATGAGGAGCCAATTTTAAAAGGACTAATTAGTTTCTGGTTAAAAACTGAACATTTGCGAGACCCCAGTCTTTCATAGGATGGTCATTACGTGTTGCTTGATTCTTTCTTTTCGAAGAAGCCATAATGCTTTAATAAAATGAATTCTATATCTTGATTTTTTGTGGTTATTTTTTTCTCATAATGTGGTGTATTGCTATTTGGTCATTTATAAATCTTTACCACTATTGCATATTATAGACAATATAGAAAAAAGCATCCGATATACGTCGTTGGAACAGTTGAGTGTACCTGACTTCATTTTCTTTGTTACCTTTTCTCATCTTATCTATGAAGCTTGCCCGAAAGGTGCTTACTGCCCATTTGCAAAACTCAATAATGAAACTGGTACATGCGAGCCGTAAGTTCATACTCTTTTCTTAACTTTTGCATTTTTCCTTTTAAATTCTTTCATCTCCATTTTTCCTTTTAAATTATTTCATCTCCATTTTTCCTTATGGTTAGCATACATTAATATTTATCAGCAGAAATATTCTACAGATACAGTTATCAGCTACCTCCTGGGAAGCAAAACCATACTTGTGGAGGAGCAGATAAGTGGGCTGATTTCTCGAGTAGTAAAGAGGTATTCTGTTCGGGTGGATCATATTGTCCGTCTACCATCCAAAAAATTCCTTGCAGTAGTGGGTATTGATAATTATCCCAGAGCTTTTAGCACTTGTCCTTACATTTTGCAAATAGTGACCTTATTTCTTCATTGCTGCATGTTTTTACACTTCTTGTCAAAACCTGGGTTTCTTATTTTCGGGTAACGTTCTCTTACTTTCCAGACGGTGAATCTAGATCATTGATTAGATTCATAATATGGCTACATAAATCTGGCAAGAGAACATTACCCTCTTAATAACCATTATCATTTGATGACATGCATGATGGTCATCTGATTCCTTATTTTCTTCTTTTAGTTTTTTTCTTATAAATTTGTTAAACAACGAGAAAAATCATCTCAGCAGTTCACTTTTTGTATACTTATGCCACAGTTTTTGCCCATTGCAGACATTATTGCAGGCAAGGTTCCACATCTCAGGAACGTAAGTTTCTCTTTCCACCCATGTAGTAGAATAATGGATACCTGAATCTCATTTTGTTTCACTAGTTGTCAGGGGATGTTAATTATGAGAACAGCAACCTGAAACTTAGTCCCTAAATTTGATAAGTTGTAGAATAACATCCAATTAGTCCATCGGGAAGTCCAACAAGTCAATAATGGTATAGTCGGTGCGTCTTGTTCATCCATGAAAGAAGACATAATTGCTAACCCTAACATTGGAAATTCAAATATTAGAAGTTCGTAGGCTATATATATACAAATTTAATATCTATTTTGAAACTCCTGTCAGAGCAATTTTTTCTCTCTATTCTCATGTATCAAGATCTTTATGTCTGTGGTTTCATAAGCTTCTTGCCAATGGCTTAGTGTTTGCTACATATTTTAAGTGAAATTTGGCGGAAATCTGCATATCTGGTTATTTCTGTAATTCTAGGGGTTAGTACTGACAGAACACCTTGTCAATGTGAGCATAAAACTCAGATACAATACTAGGTGAAGTGAACCAGAAGTATGCATGGTATTTGTATTAATCAAGAGGCAGAGGGTCATGATTGTGTCAGGTGATGAAGCAGCAATGTTTCTTCCATTGGCAGTGTCAAAAGTTTTCCAACTGTGATGCCCCTTATAACACATCTGGTCGTATAATCAGCTAACAAGGTTAAGAGTAGTTACGTCAGATGAGTGAATTTGGGGTACAGTTTTTATTTGGTGCTAAGAAACCAAAGTTATTAATAAAAGAGAAAGAGTACAAATCAGAGGACAAAACATCTACAGAAAACAGAGCTCAAAATGTAAAAAATCCTAGGGATGAAGATATTAGAAGTGCTTTGTTAAGTATAATTTATAAATATGTTTGGAAACTCTTAAGGGCACTGGTATGGAAAATTTACAAAAGGTATTTCCAGTCGGGGTGCTAGTTCATGCTGTTGATTATGGCATGGTGGTTATCGTAGACATAATCCTCAAATAATTAATTCATCAAAATTGTAACCAGAGGAACCAAGACAGTGCATATCTAAAAGAGGGCCAACTCTTAGGGGTATTGGTTGTACCAAAGAGTACAAGAACCAAGGGTTGCACTGGTATGAGAAGACACCAAAGAGAACATGTGAGGATTTGAGTGCAACATTGTAAGGGGAACAAGAGAATCCTAATAATTTCTTGGTTCCTAGTGGACTTCAAACTCCTCTCACGTGGAAGAAGGAAAGTTTACCTAACCACGTTGCATATCTCTCTGTCTTTGCTTGTTACTTGGATATTTTGCTGTTTATTTTGCATGCTTTTTTGGGTCTTCTGACAATAAGCATGGTAACCTTGAATTTGCTTGTGGCAAGATATTTGTTTTTAGGTTAATAATATTGCTTCAATTATTGTTTTGTTTGATGTCAGATAATGTTACTGTTATCTACAATAGTATATGTTTAAGAATGCATCTATTCGTTTTGAGTTTGTAGTCTAATTACTTTATCTTTGCTCTGGTGAGTCTATGGTAATGACCCTTGTTGAACTTGCAGAGTGTTTCCGGATGGCGACTTGTAAGTCACAATCAGAAAATCAAAATATTACTGCATACGGTATCCTGCTTTTTGTGAGTGGTCTTACTTCATTCTTTAAAATTTAAATAGTGAATAATGTAAGCTTCCAGGACCACAATTATGATCGGGGTTCATTTAAATTTATAGAATGAACCATTCATGGAGTACTTTAGTGCCCTTCTAGTTGCCTTGGAAAAATGTGGGATTATTTTTATGTGTCAATAACTATATTTATCAAAGGCTTAACAGCACATCACATATACTTTCCAGTGTTTTTGAAAAGCAATTTATATAAAAGAAAAGAAAATACTGTCCATGCTGTGCTTTTTGAACTGATTTCATATGCAACCATCAGCCATCTGTATTGATGAACCTTCACTTGTCAATGCAGGCTGGATTAATTTTCATCCTTCTCATTATATATAATTGTTCTGACCAAGTTCTTGCCACCCGAGAGAAAAGACAAGCAAAATCCAGGGAAAAAGCAGTTCAAAGTGTAAGAGAAACTGCACAAGCACGTGAAAAATGGAAATCTGCAAAAGACATTGCTAAGAAGCATGCAGTTGGACTGTCATCACAGTTTTCACGTACATTTTCTCGCCGAAAATCTACCAGGCATTCGGACCAGCTGAAAGGACTGGGACAAGCTAAACCTGGAACAGATGCTGCCTTGCCACCTATGCCACCCAATGAGCAATCAGCTGGAACATCTAAAGGAAAGAATAAAGACAAAAGCAGCCTCACACAAATGATACATGCAATTGAGGAAGATCCAAATAGTCATGAAGGTTTCAATCTAGAGATAGGAGATAAAAATATTAAAAAGCAAACAGCAAAAGCACCAAAAGGTAAGCAGTTGCATACTCAGAGTCAAATTTTCAAGTATGCATATGGTCAAATTGAAAAGGAAAAGGCATTACAAGAGCAGAATGCAAACTTAACCTTCTCTGGGGTTATAGAAATGGCTGGTGATACTGAAATCAGTAAGAGGCCTCCCATTGAGGTTGCTTTTAAAGATCTAACCCTCACATTGAAAGGAAAAAACAAACATCTTATGAGGTGCGTGACTGGGAAAATATCACCTGGGAGGGTTTCAGCTGTCATGGGTCCATCTGGAGCTGGAAAAACAACATTTCTTTCTGCTTTGGCTGGAAAAATTAGGGGATGCACCATGAGCGGTATGATACTTGTAAATGGAAAGATGGAATCCATCCACTCATACAAGAAAATCATTGGCTTTGTGCCACAAGATGATATTGTGCATGGAAATTTGACAGTAGAAGAAAATCTCTGGTTCAGCGCAAGATGCAGGTATGCACATTTAGTTCCAAACTTCAGGTATCCGTAGTTTGAGTATTTGTGGTTAGCTTCATTAACATTGTTGGTCCATTCTCTAACAGCTTAAACTTTGGATCCAATGGTTGTATAACATGGTATCACAGTTCTTGTTGAAAGAGGTTCTGGGTTCAAAACCTTAACATTCCAAGTGTACTGCTTCCAAAATGATCCAGCATGTATATGTGTGGGCAAAAATTGGTTTCTGTTTGATTTGCCAATTACTTCATGAAGCCCTAAGATTCACAACTTCAATCTCTGGAAGCAACAATCTTTGCATCCAACAATGTACTCTTAATTCCTCCTTTTAGGTCCATTTGTATTAAGAAAATATTAGAAGTCAAATAATCTTTGAAGTCACACTTGGTGCTCAAGGACTGGAAAAAGAACTTGACATGTATATTTGGGAATCAGCCACTTATAGTTCTTTCTTACACTATTTACCCCTCTTTCCTTTACCTCATCTCTGGAAAATCTGTCTTCACTGAAATCATTAACTTTTTGGAGTCTGCATTCTTTCATAAAATTTGTCCAACCTGCATCTTTGTTGATTCATTGCTTCGGGACATTTGAAATATGATCACGTATGTGTAGAACAGCTTTGTTCATTTGGAGGAGTGTTATACAGTAGAATTTAGGTATGCATAGCCACTTTAAATAGGCAAATTCAAAGACACTGTGATAGGTTTTGGACTGTTCTAATCTTTTCTGTTGTTCCCTTTTTTTCTATTATCTCTTTTTTTACCTCCTTGATCACATTCATTTACTGGTACTGATATTAGTTCTTGTACCATCCTCATCTTCTGCATTTTGGTTATTGTAGACTCTCTGCTGCTCTGCCTAAACCAGAAAAGGTCTTAGTCGTTGAAAGAGTTATTGAGGCCTTGGGCCTGCAGGCAGTGCGGGATTCCCTGGTTGGAACGGTGGAGAGGCGAGGAATCTCTGGAGGTCAAAGAAAGCGAGTAAATGTTGGGCTGGAAATGGTCATGGAACCATCACTTCTAATTTTAGATGAACCCACATCAGGTTTGGATAGTTCATCTTCTAATTTGTTGCTGAGAGCTCTTAGACGTGAGGCTCTTGAAGGAGTTAACATTTGCATGGTTGTCCACCAACCTAGGTAATTTAACTTGTAGCAAGTACTAGAAAAGTACCTAAATTGTGGGAAAGGCAAATTAATAGATGGCTTCACTGGAAATGAAGTCATTTTTTTAAAGTAGTTTCTTTTGCTAATTCTACTTTATTGGGTGCTTCAGCTACACATTGTTCAAGATGTTTGATGATTTGATCCTTCTGGCTAAAGGTGGACTTACGGTGTATCATGGATCCGTGAAGAAAGTTGAAGAGTACTTTGCTACCCTTGGGATTACTGTCCCAGAGCGTGTCAACCCTCCAGACTATTTCATTGACATTTTGGAAGGCATAGTAAAACCAAGCACAAGCTCTGGGGTGACCTATAAGCAACTACCTGTTAGATGGATGCTTCACAATGGGTACCCAGTTCCTATGGACATGCTCCAGAGTTCTGATGGAATGGCTGCATCTGCAGGCGAAAATTCAGCTCATGGAGGAAGTACTCCAAATGCTGGATCTGATGGACAGTCCTTTGCTGGAGACTTTTGGCAGGATGTCAAGTGTCATGTTGAGGTGAATAAGGACACTTTACAGCATAACTTCTTGAAGTCAAGCGACTTATCTGAGCGGATTACCCCTGGCGTGTTCCAGCAATATAGATACTTCCTTGGGAGGTGGGTATTCCTTCTCTAACATTTTGGTTTCACAAAAAATTCCTAATTTTCTGGAGATAATCAACCATATGGATATGATGAGTGTTATATCATGTATTGTGTTTTATCATGCAAGAAACGTCAAAACCTTGGGGCATATTCTTCATTCGCCTCTTCTATTGTGTGACCAGAAAGGATGGGTGGGGTTAATTTTTTGCGCTGTTGCACATACATGCTTATTATGCTTGTAAAGATCAAGATGTTGAGAAGATATCAATATGTTTATCTGTTAAGGCTTAGACTTAATTATCCAAAGTAAGGCATTGCTCACCGTCACACAGTGTGACTGTTACACTCTGCACTAAGCAAAGTCTATTGCACAAAATTTGCAACAGTTGAGTTCCTTTAAGATTGTTACTTTTAAATGATTCAGCCTAATTTGTTTATGACTGGCTTTATAGGGGTGGTAAGCAGCGGTTACGAGAAGCTAGGACCCAAGCTGTAGATTTTCTGATTTTATTGATTGCCGGAGTCTGCTTAGGAACACTTGCCAAAGTGAGTGATGAAACCTTTGGTGCAATTGGTTATACATACACCGTCATAGCAGTTTGTAAGTAGATTTTTTTCCCTTAATTATACATTGCTTCCTTAAACTGTGATCATATCACTTATGGTCTTGGCTGTTTCATGATTCAACTTGGCTCTTTTAGATGTTACTGGAACAATCCCAATTTAGATTAAATTATTGAGTAACATAGAGGAATAGTCCCTGAACTTATCGAACATAAGTCCTTATTTAAAATCTTAGAATGTTTCGTGCATTATTGTTTCGTAAATGAGTGGCATTAGTCCTAGGCATTATCCTTCCCTATCATTTTTTATCATATGACATGCATATGAGCACCTTTTAGGCACAATTTTCGCAACTCACCTTTGGCTATGGAAGGTGGAGGAGAATAGGGGTGCATTGTTGTTGCTCACCGGTTGAACTGCATAACACTTGATTTTCACCTCAACAAATACAGAAAAGATCTATGTTGTGATAGATGAAAGGCCAAATGCAGGTGAGTTGCTGAAATTGCCCATGAAAAGATGTTCAGTTGCGCCATGCAGGTCACGTGAGAATAATGGACAGAAATCCTGTTCGGGACTAGTGGTGTCCATTTAAAAAAAAAAAATTATACATGAAATTGTGGGATGTGGGACTCCTACAACTTAAAACCAAAGAAATTTTGGGATTTATATCTCTTAAATAATGTTAGGTGTAAGATTGGAATGAGAGAAACAAAAATATAAATCTGAGAAAATTAAGGCATTTAAGGGATGTGTTTGACTTGGTCAATTGGTCAAAGGACCTAATCCAAAAGAAACTGTTACTAAACAATAGTATGTACGAGGGACTTATATCTAGTTTTCGGTTTAAGTTATTAAAAATTGCTTGGAAGGAAGTTAAACTGTGAATTTGAACCGTTGATCAAGTGGATTTTGTTTGGGCGTACGATTCTAAATTGACAGTTTGACTGCCAGTCATAAGAATATTATCCTATATTGTGTGGCACATCCTCATGTATTTTGGGAAATTGACGTGGTTGGCAAACATTCATGTCAAATTTCTACACTCATGTTCGCATCCTCCAATCATAGCTTTTTCTAAGACGTGATTTACTTCTCACCCGTCCTAATTTGTTTCCATTTCAGCTCTCCTGTGCAAGATTGCAGCTTTGAGAACATTTGGACTGGATAAATTGCACTACTGGAGAGAGAGCTCTTCTGGCATGAGTAGCTTGGCTTACTTTCTGTCGAGGGATACAATTGATCATTTCAATACAATCATTAAGCCTCTAGTGTATCTCTCAATGTTCTATTTCTTCAACAACCCAAGATCATCCGTCATAGATAATTTCATCGTTTTGCTTTGTCTGGTTTACTGCGTGACTGGTATAGCTTACGCCCTGGCTATCTACCTGGCACCTGGTCCAGCCCAACTGGTAAGAATTTTTTCCACATTGAGAAATTATTAGCTTTGTAAAATGAATGTTTTTATGTGTCTGTATGCTTGTTTTCTTCTTCCTTCCAACAAGCCACTTTTGTTGTTGTGCAGTGGTCGGTACTTCTTCCAGTTGTTTTGACTCTAATAGCAAACTATAATGAGAACAAATTTGTTTCAAGAATAGCTGATTTGTGCTACACTAAGTGGGCTTTGGAAGCTTTTGTCATAGCTAAATGCTAAAAGGTTTAAAATTAACCATTTTTACCGAGATCATTGCATGCATTCTTAATGCTTGCGCGGATGTTATAATAATATTGTTTTTATTTTTCTTTTTTTTTTTTTTTTTTTTTTTTTTTTTTTTTCATTCTGGTATTGTGTGGTTAATCACACGATGTGGTTCACTTATGAAAACTGGCTATGATCTCAATCATTGGTACCGTAGTTTAATCTTCCTCGTCATTACTGGTATAGTTTCTCGATGCATTGCATACTTGTTACTGGTACTCTTCCAAAAGAAGTAACTCAGTCTGATCCTTTCAACCCATTCTCCCTGTACATAAATGGAAAATTCTTTACAAAGATGCTTGCCTCACTACATAACCCTCAGAGTCTCGTGAAGATGCCGGAGATTCACGAGAATGTTGCATACTGTAGAATCAATATATTGGCAGTCTGTAGATGAGTAAATGCCGCATTTTCTTTAGGTAGCTCTTCCAGTCCGTATAGGTGTAGATAACAGTGGTATTTTATTTATTCAAGGTAGCTCTTCCTCCTAAGGGTTCTGCTTGTTGTTATGCATTTGTTGTACAATCAGTTGTTTCTATATTATTTGTATCCACATGGTTCTGCTTCTGCCAAATTTGTGACAATTTTTTTTTAGTACAAGCGATAGTCTAAAACTACAGGGGAGGGGGATTTCTTACACACACACACACACACAAAACTATGATGCCGTAGAGATTTGAACGTGAGACCTTTGGTCTGCAAGTCAAGGCCATTTTCCACTGGTCTGCTAGTCAAAGTATGGTGAAAATCTTAATATACGATTGTTTGGTTCCCATGATGAAATGAGAATGGGATATTCATTGAAATGTCACCTAAACTTATACTTTAATTTCAATTTGTCACCTAAAAAAAAAATTTAAGTGAAATGTCACCTGAATTTTTCAAAATCCATAATTTGTCACCTCACTTTAACATCATCCAATTTTCCAACTATTTTCAAGGGTATTTTAGTCTTTTTATTTTCAAGAGTATTTTAAAATGGAAAAATCATTACAAAAAAATTATGAAAAGACCCTTGAAAATTATAAAAATGATGTATCTTTTCACATTTAATCCCCATCTAGTTTTACATTTAAGCTTTATTTTTTAATAATAATTTTTCCATTTTTAAAATATCCTTGAAAATGAAAAGACTAAAATACCCTTGAAATATATGGAAATCAGATGATGTTAAACTCAGGTGACAAATCATGGATTTTGAAAAATTCAGATGACATTTCACTTAAATTATTTTTTCAGGTGACAAATTGAAACTAAGGTATAAGTTCAGGTGACATTTCAACAAATATCCCAATGAGAATTTGTAATGCAATCATGGAATGAAACAGAGGAGAGAGTACTGGTTGAAAATTTGAGACACCAAGGGTATCTTGGTCTTTTCAAGTACAAAATGATTTCTATTTATTTTTGGAATTAGTTTTCTAACAAGTTATTTTAGAATTAAAAAAGATAATGAGTAGTTGTGTTCTCCATTATCTTATTTTTCTTTTAATTTTAATTTTTTTACTATAAAAAAATGTGAATCTACCATATTATCCTCATTTAATTAATAATTTCAATTCTTAATGTTTGCATTAACCAAGGACATTTTTTGGTATTTTGAATGTTTTACCATTTTCTGCCTTTTGCTTTATATATATAGATGAAAGCGATAATTTTATGGAAAACCCCATTTCCAATACCAAATGGTGTGAAACTTTCTACAAAGGATAGACAGAACTTATGAAAAAGAAAGAAATCCATGTAATAAGCACCTAGAAATGTTGAATTTTATTTGGAACTTAAAAAATAAAAAAAATAGTATCATCTAACTATTTTTGTATTTTTCTTTTCAGGATTATATGCGTTCCTAGTTTTGTTTGCAGGGAAAAAAAAGGGGTCAGGTGTGAGATGTCAGTTCACAATTGTGATGACATGCAATTACAAACCTCAGTTGGCACAATTTAACCCACTATTTACTGTCTTAATTTTTTTGGGGGAGTTGAAGAAATGGGTGAAAGGCATCGGTCCTTAAACTTTTACTAAAAAAAACCTGAAAGATATATGACATCAGTTTAAGTATCGACCAATTCTATTGTCATATTAAAGGCATCGGCAAGGATTGCTAAGCATTGGTAGTGACCTGTGGTCCTATTATTTATACAACTGATGCCTAAGATACTAACAACATCAGTTTGATGTTCTGAGTTTACCGATGCCTATCAACCAATGCCTAAAGTCATTTTTGTCACAGTGATGTCTTAATTCTTATCTACGTTTTGCTTCAACTGCTGTAATAATCCTTCTGTGGTAAAAGCATTCTTAAGCGAGCAGCAAAGCAAAGCATGTAATAAGTACTAATGATGTTTCTTTAAGTTTGAACCATGAGTATGCTTTCAGGAGATACTTTAGTAGCATAGTTAAGTTTCAAACTCATCAATTTAAGGATGTGGGATTTAACCAGGACCATTAGTGTAGTGGTTTGGAGCAATTGTTCATCCAGAAAAGAGCCTGGATTCGAGTCCTAGCATCCGTGTAGTGTGTGTGAGTTTAGTATATTATCGCCCATCTCAATAGAAACGGTCTTAAAAAAAAGTAAAAATAACCGAATTTCTTACAAATAAATTAAAAAAATAATTGAGACAAGTTTCATGTAGACGCACAAATCCTTCAACTATAATACTCTAATCTCATGCTGTACTAAGCACGAGATTCTAACAATCAATTCCAAAATCCCAAAGAACAATCCAATTTGATCCGCCAATGTTTGTTTTTGTATTAAACAAGTTGTTCATCAATTTGAGTTTATGAAGTGGAGAACACATTGAAGATTGATAAACAAGAATACTGATTTCCCCATAATAATCACAAAGTACAATATAAGTATGTCATCTTACATTAATTAGCAAGATGGTTGATTGTTTGATCTCCATTATTAAACACCAATCACATTGATTATCCTGCAGAAGCTAAATAGAAATGGCCATTTCATGGAAGAGGAAGTGCCCTCTAGGAATTTCATTACCTCAATTTGTGGTAATATGATCATTTACATTATCATTAATATTCCATACCATAAAAGCTACCCTCTCCATATGCGTGCAAGAGAGATCAGAGGTGGAGAGTTGGGGAGACGAATGGGAAGAAGGGGAAAGGAAGGAGGAGGGGGAGGGGATGGGGAGGTTGAGGTGATTATTATTATTTTAAAAAAAAATTTAATTTCTAATATTTATTTTAATTTTAAATGATAAATATATATATTTTAAATTTTAAAATTTGTTTTATCTATATATATAAGCAAAAGGCAGACAATGATGAAACATTCAAAATACCAAAAAATGACCTTGATTAATTCAAACATTAAGAATTGAAATAATTAATTAAATAAGGATAATATGGTAAATTCACATTTTTTCAAATTAAAAAAAAATCAAATAATAAGTCCTATTTTTATGGAACATAACTACCTATGTTATCTTTTCTTAATTCTAAAAATAAAAGAAAAAAAGAAAAAAGCAAACCAATTGGCACATGCTCACTAGTTTTATTTTAAATGTTTAGTTTTAGGTAGGTGAGGTTTTTATTTTCTCTTTTTTTTTATTAATAAAATTATGAATTTACCCTTAATTTGGACGGAATTTAAAAAATTTGACGGTAAGCCCTCAATTGGAGATTTTTAAAAAGTTCGAGTCCTTAATATAATATGCAAGTAGTTCAGGGTGCAAAACCCCAGAAAACCCATAAAATTATGTATTGAGAAAATCCGTCCTGGTAGATACGGTGAAAGTACAAAGCAAATGGTAATTGATGAATGATCATTGTGAATTTTTTATCCCTAAATTATACAAGCTTCTATCATTAGGGTCTTGTTTGTAAGGTATAACCGCTTAACCCCAAAGCCAGAATTGCAAGCTACGCCAAGACCAAAGCCCACGTACGTCTCACTCCACCCGCTCTAATTTTCTCTGCATGATGCCCCACCCAAAACATCAACGGTTATCCCAATACCAAATCCAACCTCCTCCTCCTCCTCATCATCATCATCATCATCATCACCTTGAAAGCTCTCTTTCATCTTCCTCCTCAACACCCCATAATTTTTTCCATTCTTCAAATCAAACGTCAACAACAAAAACAACAAGAAGCAGCAGCAGCTGCCACCCTTGCTTTGGCACGAAGCTTAAGTCCTTCTCACACCAACACTTCGGACAAATTCAAAACCTCACCAATATCATACCCTCTTGGCTTTATGTTGCTTCTAATTCTAGGCGTTGGAGTTGGCTGAAGCGCACTGGGGTTTTGTTCATGGCGAGCCCCAGCGACTTGTCCGTTCGTACTCCATCGGAGATTGTGAGTTCCATTTGAGTCTATGGTGACACTCTTGATCATGTTTTTAGAAATGTCACATATTAATTCCAATATTATTATATGCACAAATTTTATTTTGGTTAATATGGACTCCTGTAGCTAATTAATTTATGATCAATTTGTTATGCACATATGATATCCTTTACTTTCTAATGCAGCGGAAAAAGAAGCTTAGTGGGCAGCGAAAGAGAGAGGAGCTTGAAAGAGAGGTATGTAGTACTTCTTTTCTTGAAACAAATAAGAGTAGCGATTCTTGCACTACTAGTTTAGCTACTGACACTCCAAATGAGCATTTTACAATTTTATATATATACATATATATATATATATATATACACACGTAATAGGAGTGCCGGAGGATAAACTGGGAGTGCCAATATCACCGGCCAGCTCGAAGCCCGGAAAATTTGGCAATCATAGGGTGATGGGCTCCCCTCCCTGGTCTATGTTGGTGTAACTAGGATCAATGAAAAAAGTGACTAAAATTGATAGTGCAGAAGCATGGCCCAACGAATGGGACATTAATTTATCAACATGTCATTTTTAGGCGTCCTTGTTAACTATGTAGCATTTATGCTTCATCAAGGTTTCATGGTTAATCTTTCAAACCTCTGGTTTCTTTCAACTGGAAGACCATCTTTATCTTTAAAGATGATATAATTGTACTGATCAAATTGGATTCCCAAGACCAATTTAGAGACATCAGTCATTTCTTTGTCAAGGAAACCATCGAAGTGTGACTTTTGAAAAAGTTGACTTTTGAAGTGTCAAGGAACCATGCTTCTTAATTCTCTCCACCACTAGTCTCTGCCTGCACATCGGTTTTCTTCTGTTTTTCCCTTTGTTAGGATTGGTGCTCTTTTTGTTCTCTCTTGGAGCCAAATTTATTTTTCTTTCTAGCTAGCTCTAAGGTATGTGCTTGCAAGTTCTTCAATTTTTTGTTGTTGTTTATTAATGATATATGGGGATGGGGGCTCCCCGAAGTGTAGGTCATCTTTCCTTAGAGATCGAGGATGAATGTTTGCATCCTGTGACCTGCACTGAATGACTAATCTCGCCTAATCTTCTAGTTTATTAATTTGAACATTACAAATACTCTTCCTATCATATTGTTTCACAAAATTGGCAACAGAAATTGGGACCCATTAGATAATGAAGAACGTACATGCATAAATTACAAGGTGATAATTTATTTATTTAATTTTGTTTCTTTGAAATGAAGGTACAAAGCATATTCATTCAAATACAAACAAACTACCCTTTAGGTGTAGATGAGAGAATGGCATTGACAGTAACAAGTTTCTATTTAGTAGGTTTCTTTGCTTCAAAGAATGCTGAATCAAGAAGAGAAAGTACATGAGGTTTTGGATCAGGTCTATAGTCAGAAAACTACTGGTTCTGCTATTTCTTTTCCAAGATTCCTTCCTCCCAAGGTACTCTTCTGCCTTTTCTTGTTACACTTGTGTAACAGTACATATAGAAGTTATGAAAACGCATGCACTGTATTTTTTGAAGGCACCTTATGAGAAATGAATTCACGTACGTAAGGGTATGATGTTTTAGTTTAATTATACAACGTTCTTATCAAAATTAGACAATTGTTACAAAGTTATTTTGGCAATTCTATAATATTATTAGACTCTAAATTTATATGAGCATTCGAATACGATTTGATATAATTGACGGTCCTAATTCATAGTCTGGTAACATAATATGTCAAACTGTGTGTTTTAACCTTATGTGCTCGGTAAGGGAGAAATGTAGTAGAATCATTATCATCATAATTCTACTAGTAACATTATTTGTTCATAATAGCGTAAATATATTACTCTCTATGAGAACGCAGATAAAGGAGCTTTTGGCAGAGCTAGCAATGGTTGAAGGAGAAATTGCTCGACTCGAAGGCCAAATCAGCCAACTTCAACTTGGGCTGAAGCATGAAGAAGAAGCTACTAAGGAAGCAAAATCGAAGCAATGGCAACATGAAAACCTAATAAGTAACCCCGTTGGCCGTGCATCATATATATCCATGCCAAGCCCCATGAACAACATTAAAGGTGAGAGGATGGGGTACGAAACCAAGGCATTGCATTTCATAAGTAAAGCTATAAAAGGTGATTATGATCATCTGAACGACCTCAGCCTAAATGAGAAAATTGGAAGCTTGAGAGGAATTGCTGATCAGAAAGAAAATTATTTCTGCGATGAGGTTAAATTTCAGTATAAGGTTCCAAGAAAAAATGGAATATTGAGGGCATCCTCACCCTTGCGAGCTCCAAGATATCCATCACCCAAGGTATTACTGTAATGTATACATTTTTAATTGATCATATAATTTCCAAATTTCATGTACATTTTTAATGATTATTGCTGTAAGGTACGCATTAGTAGAGTATTACAACTCTGATCTGGTGATTATCACCAACCAATTAATGTTTTTTTTTTCAGCTAAAAGAACGTAATCCAGGGATTTGTTCAGAACTCCCACCAAAATCTCTACCAATTTCAACACAATTAGAAGAGAACATCCAGAATTGGCAACCAAACAGGCTCTCCGAAGAAATTATGAAGTGTCTCAACTTCATATATGTTAGGCTTCTCAGAACAACCAGAACAATGGAATTGGAGAAATCAGGCCCCATTTCCAGGTCCTTGAACTCTTCTATAACCTCAAGAAGCTTCAGGGATGAAACCACCTTAAACTCAAAGTCAAGCCTAGTTTTGTTACAAAAGGAATCAAGGCAACAAGACCCTTATGGCATCTTCAATGTGGAAGACTCAATTCCTAGGGACATTGGCCCTTACAAGAACTTGGTCATTTTCACCTCAATCTCTATGGACCCCAAAATCCATTTCTGCCTCCAATTCCATTCCTTTGATAAGAAAGTTAAGGTATGTTCGAATTAATTGTCTTATATAGTATGATGGTGATTTTAGCACTCCCAATTTAGATTATGGCCCTCCCACTTTGAGTGTAAATATTATAAAATACTCAATTTCGAGCGTCATAATCTAAAATAGAATACTAAAATCATTGTAAGTTTGATAAACATTGTTGGCCTATTTTCTAACATCTTAAATTTTTGAGGCTAGTTGTTGTCTAACATGATGTCAGAACATTCTTAGCAAGTGGTCCTAAGTTCGATTCATGTTCTCATGTTCTCCACTTCTTTGTTGGCCTGCCTCTCCACATGTAGGATGGGCCTATAGTCTACACGTGAGGGAGGGTGTAAAATTGATATACATTGTTGACCCATTCTCTGATAGCTTAAACTTTTGGGGCTAGTGATTGTCTAACAATCCCTACCTTGCTCAAATTGTAATATTGTGATCGTAACTTTTCTCTATATATTGTACTTGTGCACCACAGGGTATTGATGAACGATCTTCAGGTGGTGGATTTGGGGTCCTTGACATACCAACAGAAGCTGGCATTCTGGATCAACATGTGCAATGCTTGTATTTTGAATGTATATACAACAAAGCTTTCTTCTTTTTCCTTCTGCTTATTTCTTTTCATTTGAGAGATGTCCAGCCTCAAGTGCACTTTTAGTGCACCCAAGAACCAATGTTTGCAAGGCACCCATCAGAATAGCAATGCAGAGTTTATTTATCCATGGTCTGGCCAAGCTTTCTCATGTTGGATTGACATAAATTTGTCTATTTTCAGTGTTTTCTTCATTATGGATTGCCGGCTTCCACCGAAAAATTACTCACATTAATAAGCAAGGTAAGCCCCAAACTTCAACTAAAGGCATCAAATTGCTAGAAATTACAGTAGGCAGTAGTTCGTTGCAGAACAACTACTTGTTTCATGATTATAAGGATTATTGAAGTGAAGTACCAGAAACATGTACTTGTTGTCTTGTCACCTCTCAATTCCTTGGAATAATCTTAGACATAACAAATAATGGTTTGATTTCAGGCAACCCTGAACATAGGAGGTAAGACTTTAAATGCTGAAGCCATAGAGCGTTATATTCTGAGGAAGCCACCACCTTCCACTATGAAAGAGGTAAATATTATGACTCGTCCTATATGAATCAAACGCGTATTCTAAATCAGTATGATCTCCCATCATGAAAAATTTTCATAGGCTCTTCGGAATGAAGATGAAGACGATAAAGCCGGTGTTCGGCAACTCTATGGTCTCGAGTCCATGGATCCTAATGTCACATTTGCTCTGTGCTGTGGAACACGTTCTTCTCCAGCGGTAAAACTTCATATAAAATGTTATGCCATTGCATTTCATTATGTGCTGAATGTTAATGCTAAAGAATTTTCAGAACTGAAAGTTGCATTAATTTTTCAGGTGAGAATATACACAGCTGAAGGTGTTGTAGCTGAGCTGGAGAAATCAAAGTTGGAGTACCTGCAAGCATCAATTGTGGTGACCAGCACAAAGAAAATTGTGTTCCCAGAATTGCTGCTTGGGAACATGCTTGATTTTGCTGGGGATGTAGACTCACTGGTGCAGTGGGTTTGCCACCAGTTGCCAACATCTGGATCGTTGAGAAAATCAATGGTGGATTGCTTCAGGGGCCAAATTAGCAGTGCCAAGATTTCTGCCACTGTTGAGAAAATGCCATATGATTTTGAGTTTCAGTATTTGTTGGCCATGTAATTTTCTTGATTTGGTGTCCACTTACCATTTATACCACGTGCGTATGTGAATAAAAGAGGTATTGGACTAGTTGATAATTATGATACAAGCGATATTGGGGAGAATTGAAAACACGACCTCAGGTGCTTAGATGAATGTTTTAACTACTTAAGCTATAATCGTTTAGTTGAATGCACTAATTTGTAACCAGTTTAATTTGAAAGTTATACCTAAAGGGTAATAGGTAAAAAAAAAAAAAAAAAAAAAAAAAAAACCAAAAAATACTTTAAATTCCACACCGAACTAATATAACACACATGGAAAATTGGTTTGGTTAAAGTCTCAAACTAGTAGCATAAACTTAATCCAAACCAAACCAAACCAAACCAATCCATTCAATGATCGGTTTGGTTGGGTTATTGCCCACTGCTAAAAAAAGGCTCAAAAGACATTGAGTCCTGTAGACATTGTCAACTTGTCAAGCAAACTAGTCAAGCCTCCCTTCGTTTTATATAACCTGGCAACCATCCGGTAGCCCTCCAAACAAGAATGAGAATATACTTATAACTAAAAATAGTGTAAGAGAGAAAAATAGTGAAACCTTCATATACTATACATGTGGATGTGGTGAGGGAAATTATAGTTTTTGTAGGAGAGAAGTTGGAGAAAAAGTAATGTGTTATAACGTATAACTAAAATCATACAAGAACCCTCTAAACCCAAATAAATGCAATGCATAGCTGCATGGGGTTACCCTGCAATTGCGCCTTTGCATCAGTGGACAGAGGTTTGTATGGGATCTTTTGTTGAAACAGAGCTTCTCCTATTGTCCCATACAAAATAGACAAATACAACAGAAATTCCATTAAACAAAATTAATACCCGAAATTAAGAATCCAAGTGAGAAGGGATTTTCACCTCCTGCCATACGCACAACCACTGAAATGCTTTCATGGTCGTCAAAGGTGTAGCAGTTTCAAATTTCATTGTCCACAGATGCATATTAACTTCACAGTGATTCTTTTATCAACAGCAACAAAGCAGGATCGACTCTATCTCTCGACAGTAATTGAACTATCAACCTTATTGTTGATGCATCTGCAGAGAAACCATTCCCCACTATTTGTTGAATAAGTACCATCGCCCTTGATGTCTCATTGTTACTGATAAACCCTCTGATAATTGTGTTATATGTGCAACCATCTGGAGAACAGCCTTTCTCTTCCATTTCGACAAGCAACTTTTCTGCTTCACTTTTTACACCCCCGATACATAGTCCATTAATCATTATATTGTATGTCCACACATTAGGTTGAAGTCCTTTTGATGATAAACCACAAAAGAGATTGATGAATCAGAGATCCCTTGCAGATTCAATTTTTCCAGCTATGAACAAACCTTCAATAAGAATAGTGTAAACCACAATATTAACATCCAACTTCTTCGCTTCCATCTCTCTAAACAATTGCATTGCCCTGGAAAGTTGTCGGTTTTTAAACAGGCCATCCAGTAGAACAACATAAGTTTGAAAATTTGGAAGTTGGCCACAATCTTGCATCTCAAAGAACAACCTTTGTGCATCTTGTATTCCACCCACTTTGCAAAACCTGTTCACAAGAGTGTTATAAGTAACGGTATCTGGAACAAATCCCTTATGACACATATCTAGAAAAAGCATCATGGCCTCATCTATTTTTTTAAGCTTACAATAGCCATTTATCAATGTGTTGTAACTGACAACATTAACCATCGAGCCCTTGCTAAGCATTAGTTCAAAAACTTTTTGTGCCTTGTATAACCAACCATCCATAAGTGAATTGTATGTAACCATATCAGGTTCAATATCCCTTTAAATCATCATTTCAACTACACCTTTGGCTTCCACGACCGTCCCCTCCTTACAAAGTGTGTCTACCAAGACTTTGAACGTGAACACATCTGGAAAGATATTTTTACTGACTGTTTCATTCAGCAACCTTGTAGCTTCTTTCCACTCGCCTAATTTGCAAACTCCATTCATCAAAGAGTTATAGGTAATGACATTTGGGGCAATACCCTTGCTTATCATTTCTGAGAAAAGGTTCAATGCATCAACAACTTGTGTATCCTTACAAAGACTGTCAATGATTGTGCTATAGGCAACTAGGTCAGGCTTGCAAGGCCTTTCCTCCATCTTCCTGAGCAATTGAATAGCTGCACAGTTGTTACCCCTCATGCAAAAGCCCATTATTAATGTGCCGAAAGTAACCACATTAGGCTTCCAATTACCTGCCCTCATCATTTTGTGGAAAAGGGCTGCTGCCTCCGCCACTCTATGCTCGAGAAGATAGCCGTTGATTAGAGTGTTGAAGGTCAAGACATTTGGTTCAAGACCAAGTTTGAAGAATTTCCCAATACAGATAAACTAAACCCTATTTGATTCAAATGACAATAACAATTGATGAGAATGGTTAGAGTATAAACATCAGGATTCCCGACGCACCCATTTGGTTATACAATGAGATGACTGCCGAATAATGTTTCAATTTCGCAACTTGAGTCAAGATTTGAGTGAAACGAACAAGTGAAGGCAGAGGACGCTTTTGAAGCATTCTATCAAACACATTGAAAGCATCCTCAACAGTTGTGATTTTGAGAGAGTTTCTCACTGCCTGCTCTAGTTGGGTTCTTATAAATTTGATAGGTTTAGAAGGTTGAGAGTGAAGGAAAGCAAAGTAATTGTTGGCGAAAACAACAACAGTGGAGTTAGTATGAAGACAAGGCATACCTCTCCATCTCCTGCTGCTGCAATAAAAAGAAGCAGAAGCAGCTATATTTCGCATCATCATCTCAGTGAGTCAACGAGTCTCACCCGTATCGAACCCGGTCGTGAAAGAAGAAAGAAGCTCTGCTGCAAGTAAAGGCCATGGCCTTATTAATTCAGAGAGAGAGAGATACAGAGATATGGCAATTTGGCGAACTGGGAAAGGTGTTTGGTTGTTTGCGGCAACGGTAAATTTTGGATTATAATTTTTAAAAAACATCATGTCCACAGGTTTAACCAATAATCAAATATTACTTGAATTAATAAATAGTATTATAAATGTTATAGCCGGGCGGCTATACTCATGGTTTTTAAACAGTATAGCCGTGCGGCTATACTAGTTTTCACACGTGGCGAAATGAGTGCTAGGCGCCTGCGGGTAGTTATTTATATTTAATAAATAGTATCGCCGCACGGCTATACTCAGGGTTTTTTTAAAGGGTATCGCCGCACGGCTATACTATTTTTGACAAGTGGCGAACTGAGCGCTAGGCGCCGGCGGGTTTTTTTTTATATTTTATAAATCGTATAGCCGAACGGCTATACTGGGATTATTTTTAGGCTTAAATGTTAAAATAGTCCCTGTGTTTTATCTTGTTGGCCAATTTAGTCCATGTGTTTTTAATTTGGCCAATTTGGTCCCTGTGTTTAGCACTGTTAGCCAATGTGGCCCATTCTGTTAAAATTGCCGTTAAATTAACATAATAATTCTTTTTTTCTTCTTCTTCCTTTGAAAACCTAGAAATTTTGTTGAAATTAATTTAAAATCATATTAAAACTTCATTAGAACTAAAACATAGCATTAGAAAAAAGATTAAAAAAAAACAGGATGGGCGCAGGGCTGCTCAGCAATGTGGTTGGGGGAGTGGGGCGATGACTGCATGGTGAATATTCTACTGGGAGATGGTCAGGAGTTAGGGATTGGTCTAGAGAGAGAGAGAGAGAGAGAGAGAGAGAGAAGGGGAGGGGTGGGGTGGGTGACTGTGGCTTGGGGAGTTGGGGTTTTTGCATGTGGGTGAGTTGTCGCTGGGGAGAAAGAGTGTTGCTGAAATGGTGTTGTCCTTTGGTTTTTAATTGCTTTTAGATTTTAAATCTTATTTTCATTTCATAATTATTTATTTTATAGATTGAATTCAAATATTTATATTTTTTATTAATATTTTAGCAAAAATTTAACGGATTGGATTACATTAGCTAACGGTCCGAAACACAGGGACCAAATTAGCCAAATTGAAAACACATGGACTAAATTGGCCAACGGGCTAAAACACAGGGACCATTTTAGCATTTAAGCCTTATTTTTATAACAAAAAATAGTTTAGACACGTGGCAAAAAGGGCGCAAGGCCCCTGGCGGGTTTTTTATAGTATAGCCGCTCGGCTATACCGAGGGTGTTAGTAAAAAATAGTATAGCCGCGCGGCTAAACCGGGATAGATATTTTTTTATTATAAAAAAAGTATAGTCTCCCGTCTATACTGGGATCTTTTTTACTCTTTACATAATTGAATCCGACCAAATTAATTTCGATTTGGTTGTAAATCAAACCAAATTAATTGCGATTTGGTTCCATTCGATTCAAGATTAGACTTTTTTGTGTAAAAATCGAACAAAACCTCAAAGTATGAAGCGACCCCTTAAACACTGTCCCAACTAATTTTAGAGGTTTGTTTGTTTTTTTCTTTTTTTCTTTTTTTTTCTCGACCGAAAAAAAACCTCTCAAATTAATTGGGGCAGTGTTTAAGGGGCCGCTTCATACTTCCTTCTTGGAGATTGTCGAAATTTTTTCGAGTTGCATAAACACTTAAAAGTGCTTTTTGGAAAACCACGGTCTCCTAAAAAGCATTTTCATTACAAATACTTGACAGTTCCGTTTACGTTTCATGTGGCTGACGCCGTCATTCGCTCACAGGCGATGGCGAAATACAAATGTTCTGTTTTTCCTCAAGAAAAAAAGAAAAGAAAAGAAAATGACCAATGCTGTGTTACTCTGCTGTCACCCACCGGACTCCATTCCATTTCAACTTTCTAATGCATTTCAAATCCGTCGCCCTTCACTGGTTCTAACATTACGATTCTACTTTCCTTTCTCTACCATTCTCTCTCTGTTCCAAAAATAGGGTCCTTGTGAGCCTTTATATGAGGTTGAGGTAATTTCTCTTTACCTTTCTTGGCAATTCCACACAACCCATTTTCCTTTTTATTATTATTATTATTTTTCTTCTTCTCACTATTATTAGTAGTTAATATGGTTCTGCTTTTCTGGTCCTACATGCATTTCACAGCTCTTATTGTGTATACAATTTGTTTATTATGTTTTGAGCCCTTATGGTTCTTTGGGGTTGCTTATATTTAGTCAAAATATTTGGAGAATTATATGATTATTGTCTAAATTGGTGTATTGGGATTCAATGGATGCATGGTATGAGGTTAATTGCATGGTTGTGAGGTTGTGCATTGCTTTTTATTTGGTGCAATTTGCTGTGTGTTGGTAATTGTTTGAAACTTGAAAGTAACAAAGTGACATTTCCTTAATGCGGGTTTGGTTTCCTGTTATGACTGAATGATCCTAGTGTGATTTACTTGATGGTGAAAATTGTCCCCACCAAGACAACCCAAAAGAGAGGAAAAAGTTGTTGCTGCTAGTTTGAGTATGTCTGTTCATTTCCTTTGATGGGAGTGATGTGAATGCGAGATTATGCGAGATTATGCGAATATAGTTTTTTCGCCTCTAGAAATGCCTGTGTTAAACACAACTCAAGTATTCATTCTTATGTAATGCTTGAGTAGCCTCTTGCTGAATGATTTTTTTTTGTCCTGCTACCTTATACGCATGAAAAGAACAGCATACTTGCGAGTGATTTGAAGAAGAAAATTGTTTTTACAGAATGGTTTGAGGTCTCTACCTTCTAGCAATCTTTTTCCTGTATATTAAGATTAAGTGCCTAATTTTTCATTCCATTTGGATTTTAAACTTGAATTGTTTATAGGCAAGTAAAAAGAAAATTCCAGACCACATTGGATGTGCGTCGTTGGAGGACATTTTGAAAACTGATGATGGGATTGCAAACATTCCTAAGAGTCAACGATACTTATAGTACATCTCTTGGAGTTGAGTTGAATATTCTGATTAATGACTCCAGGCATTGAATATAAACCGAAATATGATTTCATTTCCAATAATCGTTCTTAAATCTTAGTTTTCTTCCCAAATAATTGGAAAGTTCACCATGTTGATGTTTCCTCAAGAAAATATCCATTGTTTTTGTAGTTGGACCCATATGTACCCATTTTCACTTCCTCAAAAGTTAAACCTGTAGACTTGGAGCAACTAGTAGAACCTGAATGTGACAACGACTTGCTTGGCAGTGTTCTTGACTTTTACCCATTGAAAATCTCAAAAGTGGTTCAATAATGAAGAAATCTCAGGCAATATTGAGTCCAATAAGATAAAACTTGATAGTGGTATTCTCTCTCTTACTTATAAGTACCAACATATGCACACACACACACACACACACATACACACACACACCAAGTTAAGAGAGATTTTACGGTTGAGAGAAAAATCGTACAATAAAAGTGTCAAGTAATTACTTATATTATATGTTTTTCTTTGACTAAATGACAAGTAATTCCCTTTTTTTGAAAACTATACTATATCTTTTATGTATTTTTATTTATAAAAATTTGAGTCCAAAAAGCTTACACCTCACCTTGCTGGGCATAGAACGCCTTCCTTTAGGCCTTTGCGCTTTAAAACACTGGTTTTGGTAAATCAGCTCATTTGTTAGCCAGCCAACTCTGAAAGATTGTACTCCCAAGTCCCAACAATGCATGCCATGTGATTGATATAAACTCAAGTCTGAATGATTACATGGCCTCCTGGGGTAAAATTATAGTAGTGCAGTACTGCATGAAGAGAGAGGAAGATTTCTTGAACTCTATGTAATATCTGTCAAGTCTCGATCTTATTTCTCTTGTGATTGGAATGATTTATCTGACGCTTAACTTTGTCACTATAGTGCTATCTGATTTTTATCTCTTCTTTTTCTAAGTCTGATGGTTGTGATAGTGTTGTAGCTTCTTGATAGAATGTTCCAAGGAACGGACAATGCAGTCTGCCATGGAAGGATTAGTCTCCCAACTTGTCAAGAATATCTTTGGGGTAGGTATTTTCAGAATCCTTCCCAGTCAAATAAATTAGTTTCATCAAGATGCTTATTTCTCCCCTCAAATTTCAAGAGAAGTTTCCTCTTTTCCTCCTTCCTGCAGAAGCCAAACATTCTGATAAAGTCTTCAAATCGGAAGGTGGTCCAGACTCTTGTCTGCAAAATGCTGGTTTAGAAAGCCACTCCCCAGGTGTCTATAAAGAATACTGTGGTGCTGAGATGTCAGATTTGTCTTGTGAGAGCACTCCAAGGCTTGGATACAAGAATAACCGCAGTTCTCTTTTGCTTGATCATATGTCAGTACAAGAACGACAATTGGTCTTTAGGAACATGTTCAGATATGAAACACCAGTAATAGACAAGCAGTGGCCAAAGCACAGTATTTCACCTGGTTTGCAGAATTTTTTTGAGTTAGAAAGTGGTTCAAACCTCGCAGAATGTGGTCTAATGACCAAAAAAGATGAAGGAAAAACTGTTCTCTCGTCTAGCATTGAGTTCTTTGGAAAGGATAATGGCACTATCAAAGGATCACTAAGTGATGAAGGTATGTCCAGAGATCTGCAGGTAAAATGGAAGAAGCTTGCTGACCTTGAATCTTTGAAGACCTCAAATTCTAGGGTTTGTGAAATTGAACTGTGCTCGTCAGATGAAAGGGATAAAGCAGGAGCATTTGTCATGCAAAAGAGATCACGAAGGCCTCCCAGGAGATACATTGAAGAATTAGCAGAGTCTAAATCAAAGTTTTATAGTAGAAAATGTGGAGTGGCTTGTAAGAGGTCCAAGAACAGCTTTCTGCATGTTAGATCTGACAAAAATAATAGGCAGAAGGAGACTCAGGAAGAAACATTGCTTTGTCAAGATAAATCTTATGAAGTAGGTTGTATTCAAGTTCCATTTGGCCTTCCAATGGAAGCAGGCCAGTTAGAGGAACATAACTCATCTCTGGTAAGGAACATTTAAATTTGTCATTTGGTATATAATTAATGGGTTCCTTGTAGATCATCCAATGTAAATCTGTTTACCTTATTTTGCGTTACCTAATGAGCTATCAGATTCTTGTCCCTTATGCAATCAAACTGCTGATGAAAAATATGACAAGTGAAGAATTAAAAAAAGATAATCAACTTATTGTGCCACCTTTGTAATAAAGTTTAATTTTTTGTGTGGATACTACAAGATTATGGATTGCCTGGTCTGTTTTTCTTTTCAAAATTAGAAAGTGACATGTGTTATCCTAAGTAAAAACAGCTGCTTTCAATGCATTTTGCACATTCTTCATTTTACCAAGATTTTGCCTTATCATCTAAAAGAAATACATTAAAACAATAAAGTCAAGGGCCATCCATGTCCATTTGAATTTGAGTTATACAAAGTCTTGTACATGCAGGAAAGTATTTGTCATGTTTGTAATGCATTTATCAGTAATTTATGTCCAGAACTGTGAGGATTGCAAGGACCACAGACTCCTAAGATCCAGTGAGAAACTTGAGATTGAGTATTCTCCAGCAAAATCGCAAGAGGAGATTTCTGATGATGAGTGTGTCTTGAGGAGAAGTACTCAAAAAGGTAGCAAACAGATAAAGCATTATACATCTTGGACTTCTTCTGAAGTGATGAAGTTAATTGAAGGTGTTTCTCAGTGTGGAGTTGGAAGATGGAGTGCAATGAAGAGATTACTGTTTTCTTCATGTTCACATCGCACAGCTGTTGATATTAAGGTAGTTCATGGCATTTTTTATTGTTTTTTCTCCCAACATATTTGGGATCAGATATGATTTAATCTTTTTGGCTTTTCAGGACAAATGGCGTAATTTTTTAAAAGCTAGCTGCACTCAGTTGCAGAAAGAGAGAAAGGTTGGGTTGAAATTTTACTTTATCTCTATTTTAACATCGTGAGCAGATATTTTACATGGTCAGTGTGAACCCTGAGCATCTTTAAAGCAGATTTTGTTTGGCATTTCAAGATATCGGTTATCTGATTCTTATCTAAATAAATTACCTTATAATCTCTAAACATGTTGTGGTTCTCTCGCTGCATTTCTTCTTAGTATAGTATCTTGTGGAGTTATTGCCTTGTTGACATATAAGAGTGTTATGCAACTAGTGAACTAGTACTGGCAATATCTTCTGAAATAAATCTTCTTATTTGAAGAGAGCTTTTTGGATTATTTAGTATGATGAATGTAATTAAGAGTTGGAATTTGGTAGATCAGAACTCCTATTGTGAGCTTGAAGGGTAGATATTTCATTCTTCTATTTCTTTGTCATGCAGATTAAGAGAGATATAAGCAAGCAAGCATCCAATCATGTCCCGGAATCTGTTTTGCAGTGCGTTAGGGAGTTGGCCGTCATTTATCCGTATCCAAGGCGAAAAAGGTCCGCTTGTAATACTCATGCCTTGTCTTCTTTTGCAACCAACGAGTGTAATGCACTGCCCCAAAAGAGAAAAAGTAAATTTAGGTTTTAGTCACAAAAAAGCTCACTTTTGGAAAAAGCCAAAAATTTTCCAAAAAAGACAGAAAAACCCCTCAACTTTCAAACCAAAGACACGCAAATGTAAAGGATTCCTTAGGAAATCCAAAAATAAATAAGGGCATTTTTGTCCATTTTGGCTTCTTTTAAAAATATTTATCTCTCCTTTGGCCTTTTCCAAAATGTCCCGAGAGAAAATAGATTACTAGAAACCTCAGTGAACTTCACAATATATGTGAGTTCTTTTGTAGTGAAAGACTGAAAAAGAAAAATAAATGAAAGAGTTGTGCCCTTCGACATCTAGCTCCATCAATTTTGTATAATTCTTGTGTGTAGATAAATTACTTAACGCATTTAGCATGACATTATATTATTTAGGTCATGCCAATTAATTGATCAATTTTTCAGTTTATTGATCAACAGTCAACAGGGAAAGAGTTCTGTGTATGTCTTTTTCTCATCCTTATCTCAAGTAGTCGTTGTCATTTGGTCAGCGCTTGTTATTGCAGTACGGGTTACCAACTTGGCAATTAATTTACCTGCTTACTTGTGTTGTTTGGCTTTTGGCTTTTGGCTTTTGGCTTTTGGCTTTTGGCTCTTGGCTTTGGCTTTTGGCTTTTGACTTTTGACTTTTTAATGGATTTTCTTTATCCTTTGACTTTCTAAAGTTGTAAAACTTCAGTCCACTCAAATATCAACCTTCAAAGTGTGATTGCGGTCCTACTACAATGGATTTTTTTTTCTTACTCAAATGATAGGATATTTTCAAAGATACCGCGATAGAGCTGGCCAACTACAATGCTTGGAGTCAACTTTTTGCATCCAAGGAATTTGCTGCAATAATGTGAGCAACTTTTCGTCTCTGAATCTTCATTCTTCAATAGCATGTTTACTTATTAGGAATGGGTAATGGAATTTTCTTGCTTCCCTGTGTTTTTCATGACTTTCCCTCCCCTGCGTTTACTAAATGTAAGAAATCAAAACTTTCGTGGGTTTCATGTTAAAATCCGTAATTCAATACCTGCAAAACTAGGAATTGGAAGAGTAATTGATCCAATTCCAATTCTCTTATTCCTAAGTTCTTCGATTCATAGCTTCATCTATTTCTAGTAAGTAAACATGCCCTAAATAATAAGGCATAACAGAAATATGCCCTAAATAGTAAGGAAGAAATATTTTATTTTTTCCAGCCGAGTCATGCTGCTTGCTAGAGTTTATTTCGGACTTGTTTGCCTATACACCCAAAACACATTCACCAAAATCTGATGAAAAATGACCAATTTCATTTTGTTTCAACTTTTACATTTGCGTCCTGTGGCTGTTGATGATATCCAGCTTGAGGTTTTGTTGTTTATTTTTGCTTTGTTTAGGAGCAATATTCAAGTGCATACAATACAAAATAATCTTGTCGCACCTAATTCCAAATTAAAATATTCCCATAAAAACAAAAATCTTGATCCATCCAGATTTCCTCCACTGTTTTCTTTATTTTATTTTATTTCTTTTAATGGCGTGCCACCTTGACTGCCATAAGATTAAGATATCTGTGAACAACAAAATTCCAACTGCTGTCATTATACCTTCATTGTTTAATATGTTCCAAATAACTAGTTATGTTATTGTAAAAATAAATAAAGAACCAGTTATGTCACTCTCAAATTCGAACTCTAATTACAAAATTAAATATTAAAAATTAATAATTGTTGTATGATCAAAATGACAAGGATCATCTCGGGGAGAGCGGGACCGTAATACCTGTAGGAACTCTAATACAAAGTGTTGTACACCAGGAAGTATTTGTCTTGTTTATAATGCATTTATCGGTAATGTATGTCCAGAACTCTGAGGATTGCAAGGACCAGAGACTCCTAGGATCCAGTGAGAAACTTGAGATTGAGTATTCTCCAGCAAAGTCGCGAGAGGAGATTTCTGAAGATGAGACTGAGTTTTTTATTTGAAGTGAACTAGACTGGCAATATCTTCTGAAATAAAGCTTCTTATTTGAAGTGAGTTTTTTAACTTGTTTGCTGTGATCAATAATTAAGAGTTGAAATTTGGTAAATCAGAACTCCTATTGTGAGCTTGATGGGTAGATATATCATTCTTCTATTTCTTTATCATGCAGATTAATAGAGAGATAAGCAAGCGAGCATCCGATCACGTTCCAGAATCTGTTTCTCAGCGCGTTAGGGAGTTGGCGAAAAAAGGTCCGCTCGTGGTACTCATGCAATGTCTTCGTTTTCAACCACCAAGAGTAATGCACGGCCCCTCTCAACTGCTGTTAAAAGGGTGAGAGCAAATAGATTGCTAGAAACCTCAGTGAACTTCACAATGCATGTGAGATCTTTTTGTATTTGAAGACTGAAAAGAAAGAAATGAATGAGTTTAGCCCCTTGGCATATTTCACCATCAATTTGGTATGATTCTTGTTTGAGCATACAATAGTTGGATGAAGTCCTTACCCATGTGTGCATTTAGCATGACATTATATTATTTAGGTCAAAAAGTCACAATATCTGCTTGTTATTATTGCGGTATGGGTTACCAACTTGCCAAATTACCGACTTACTTGTGTTGTTTTGCCTTTTGACTTTGGACTTTTTATGGATTCCCTTGTATCTATCCTTTGACTTTATAAAGTTGTAAAACTTCGGTCCAATCAGATATCAACCTTCCAAAATGGGATTGCGGTTCAGTAAACTTATAAGGAATGGATATTGTAATTTTCTTGCTTCTTTGTGATTTTTATGTCTTTCTCTCTCTTACGTTTACTAGTAAGTAAGAAATCAAAACTTTTGTGTGTTTCATGTGAGAATCTGTAATCCAATACTCTCAAAATTAGGAATTGGAAGAGAATTGATCCAATTCCAATTTTCTTATTCTTAAGTTCTCCGATTCATAATGTCATCTATTCCTAATAATTAAACGTGCCCTAAATAGTAAGGAAGAGTCATTAGTTTGCTAGAGTTTATTTCAGACTTGTTTGCATTTACACCCAAAACACATTCACCAAAATCTGATGACATGAGGGTTTCTATTTCTGTTTATTCTAACAGATTTTGGTTGTGAAAAATATCAATTTGGTTTGTTTAGAAGCAATATTCATGTGCACCTATCATACAAAACAAAATGATATTGTCACACATCCAATTCCAAATTAAATATTGGCACGCCGCCTTGACTGCCATTGCCATAAAATTAAGGCGTATGTGAGAGCAGCAAAAATTCAACAACTGCTGTCATTATAACTTCATTGTTTAATTTCTTCCAAATAACCACTTATGTTATTATAAAAATAATAAAAAACCAGTTATGTCGCTCTCAAATTCGAACCCTAGTTACAAAATTAAAAATTAAAAATTGTTGTATGATCAAAATGACAAGGATCATCTCGGGGCGAGCGAGACCGAAATACCGGTGGGAGCTCTCATGTTGTCGGACCAAAACTTCGACTCCAAATAAAGCTTGGAGATTTTCACCGACACGCGTCCCATGCTGGGCCGTTGATCCGGGTCCACGTGTACGCACTCCAGAGCCAAACGTGTCAACTTCTCAGCCACTTCCACGGGGAACGAGTCCTTGAGCCTCCTATCCACCCAGGTCCTCAGACCACCATGCCGAATCGCAGCCTGGGCCGAGTCGACCACCGAGGTTCTGATAAAATCACCCATGGTTTTATCAAACTTGTACTTGAAAGGCTCTTGCCCCGACAGGAGCTCCAAGAGCACCACGCCGAACGCGTACACGTCAGACTTCTGCGTCGCGACGCCGGAGGCTTGAAACTCCGGCGACATGTACCCTCTCACCCCTTCGAACTGGTTCTTCCGGCTGCTGGTACGGTTCAATTTCGGGTCGGGGCCTTCGACGGCCTCGATTTCGGATCGGGATTTTGGATTCGGGTTGAGATGGGTGTACGAATCGGTCTCGCCGCAGAGCTGGGCCGCCCCGAAATGGCAGAGGCGGGCGTTGAAATGGGGCTCGGTGACCAAAACGCTGCCGCTTTTGATGTGGTTGTGGACTAGATTGACGTTGAGGCCCGTGCTGTTGTGGATGTAGTCCAGCCCCTGCGCGAGATCCGTGGCGATCTGCATCCTGGAGGCCCACGTGGACAGGACCGTGTAATTCGGGTTGTTTGGGTTCCGGAGGCAGGCTGCCAGGCTGGCGCCACTGACAAACTCGTAGACTAAGAACGCGTAGTCGCTGGAGACGCAGGCGCCGAGGAGCTTGGTGATGGAGGTGTGGTGGCTGCGGCAGAGAGTGGAGAGCCGTTGCCTGAGCTCCGGGGTGGAGAGCTTAACGCGGAATTTGCGTTGGAAAATGACGGCGTCCTTGCCGCGGAGGGTGCAGCGCCAGGAGGGGGTGGAGGAGGAGGAGGAGGGGGTGGGGTTGAAGCGCTTGGAGAGGAAGTTGTTGGTGGCGGCGCAAAGCTCGGAGTAGTCGTAGAGGATCGGGTTTTCGGGGACGGGTAGGGAGTCTTTGAGGGTGGAGAGAGAGGTTGACGAGGAAGAGGTGGAGGCGTGGGACTGGGAGGAGAGTTTGTAGCTTGAGGTGGAAGTGTAGCGGTCGCTTGGGGTGTTGGAGGTTGAGGGCTCGAAGGAAGAGGCGGTGGGTTGAGCCAATTGCGGGGTGCGCCGAGGAGTGGAGATGGGCTGGGTGGCGTCGACTGACATTTTGGATTTGCACATATGGTGGGTGTGCAGAAATTGGGTTTATTTATTTAATTGTTAGGATTTTGGGAACATTTAATTTAAAGAGTGGTGGTTCAACTTCAACGCCGGGTTTCTGCGGAAGCGAATTAGTAAAAGTATGATGTGGTTGGCTCATTTCTATTGTGCGCCAGGCACGGCGGCGCATGTTAGTTGTGAGGCTTCAAGTATTATCTATCTTGTGTTTTATGGCAGGAAAGGAAGGCAGGGGTTCAACATGAGCGAGCGTGGTGAGATGATGATGTGTGAGTATGTGCAACGTGAACTGTTGAGGACATTTCGCTTTCGTTGCGTGGTTTTTTAAAAAAAAAAAAAATTATTTATAGATGTTTTTAATATGCCTACGGCTCCTTCCCGGGGCTCTCTGGGGTCGGTCAACAATATTATTTGGTTACAAAAGGAATGTGGGAGGGAAATTCGGACTCAAATCTTGGGTATGGAGGTAAATGTATATTGTCACCGTAGTTACAACCCCTCTAGCCCGCTACGATATGAATTGGCACGAGCCACTAGACTGGTGTTGAGTTTTCTTTACTGATTTTTTTCGTGTGTTGAAAATTGATGATGGGGCATGTCATTATATTATTGTCAACGAGGATAGAAAGTGAGAGGGGAAGAAGAATAGTAGGGTGTCAATTTAAAAAGAAAAAAAGTATATTGGTCAATTAAGACTATATATATATCCTCTATTTTTCTGACTTTTTCTTTTTTGGTCGAAAATATTTTTCTGACTTTTCATTGATCGTGCATATAAAGATATGGACTTGTTCTATGTGGAGCACGCATTGTTTTATGTGGAGTACATGTGATGGGTGAACTTTATATGTGAGTATGTATAGTCATTGGGCTTCATATGTGACCAAACATGGCTTTGATACCATGGAAACCTATTTCTCTATATAAAGCTTAGCAAAAAATTTCAACATTTAAATGTATGACATTTCTTTCCATTCTTACACTTCCCATTTTAGCTCGGTCAAGACCACATTAATTTAGCTCAGTCAAGACCACGTTAATTAAAGGGAGCTTTAGTTTTAAAGCATAATATAGTTTACTAATTTAGTAGAAAGAAATACAATTTAGTCTAATTAGCAAAAGGAAAAAAACCAAAATGTAACAAAAATACCATTACAAAATATGAAAATTACAACATATGCCATTTTCAGTATTTAGTTTTAAACAAAAACTGAAAAACGACATCAAACCAAAACTGAACCAAAACGACATCAACCGAAACCAAAATTGAATCACAACTCCTTCGCGCGACGTTTCAACTTCACCTCCAGAAACCTCTTCAACTTCACCTCCAGAAACCTCCAGACCACCAACGATCATCGAAGACCACCAACGATCATCGAAGACCACCAACCCATTCGTGCGACCATCATCGAAGACCACCAACGATCGAAGCCGATTCTTCATTCTCTCTTTCAGCAGTTCCAACCTATTCCCCCAAAATCTGAAACGGCGACGAGCGACGAGCGACGACTAGAAGCGACGACCAGCAACGACGACGATTGAAGGGTTTAGCACTCTCTTGGGGAAAAAATCGTAAGAAAATGACCCCTAACACAAATTTGCCTTTGATTTTAGGGTTCTGAAATTTTACTTACTGTCATTCTGCAATGTAGTTTAGGTTTTGGGTTTAGTTTTGGTTTGAAAACCTCTAAAAACCGAAAAATCACAAAAGAGCATCAAAACTGTTTTCTGCACTGAAGAAAACAGAAACTGCATTGTAGTTTCTGCTAAATTATTTATACTTATTTCCATTTCACGTCATGTTGTTATGTAGTTTCTGTTATGTTTTGTAGTTCTTGTTTTGACTATGCTGATCTTTCAATTTCATGTCAAGTTGATTTATATTTTCTGGTATATTCTGTTTTTTGCATTGCAGTGAACCACAAACTGCATTGCAGTTTCTGTGCATTTCACGCCATGTTGTTATGTAGTTTCTGTTGTGTTTTGTAGTTCTTGTTTTGGCTATGCTGATCTTTCAATTTCATGTCAAGTTGATGCATATTTTCTGGTATATGCTGTTTTTTGCATTTTAGTGAACCACAAGCTGCATTGCAGTGAACCACAAACTGCATTGCAGTTTCTGTGAACTGCATTGCAGTGAACCACAAACTGCATTGCAGTTTCTGTGCTTCTTGAATGTTGCTCATTTCACGCCATGTTGTTATGTAGTTTCTGTTGTATTTTGTAGTTCTTGTTTTGACTATGCTGATCTTTCAATTTCATGTCAAGTTGATGCATATTTTCTGGTATATTCTCTTTTTTGCATTTTAGTGAAAGACAAACTGCATTGCAGTGAACCACAAACTGCATTGCAGTTTCTGTTTGCTTGTAGTTTATCTCTACTTGTCCTAATAATATTTTCATCCCTTCTTGTTGCAGATCACAAATGGCACAAGAAATGTCACCACAAAAGGAGGAAGCTCAAAACCAACCAAAGCGAAGATTCAAAATGATGGCTCAAAAGAGTAAATCGAAGCCAAAGCCAAAGCCAAACTATGATCGGAAAGCAAAGCACCCAGATTATGTCCAATTTCGGTGCAATGTCAACGCTTTCAACAGCATCATTACGGATGTAAAAGACAAGCTGAATGAAAGGCAGAAGAAGCTTCTCAAGAACACCCCATTTTGGAACTTGATTGAGGTGTTTTACAACCGAAGGATTGACATGAATAACATGAATAAGTCAGACCTTGACTTAGTTCAGCTGCTCAAGAAGTTTGATCCGGATACAAAGTCCTTCAAATTTGGCACCGAAGCATTCAAGATCACAGGCAATGCAGTGACTCAGATTCTAGGACTGCCAAATGAAGGAAAATCTGTCAAACTTGTCAATGATAGGTACACTTCTACCTTCAAAATAAGGCACTTTGGAGAAAAGGGAAAACCATCAAAAAATCAGGTAGAAGCAGAATTACTGAAGACAATTTCATTGGCAAACCAACCGAAGAAAGAAAAGGCCAAGGCAGAGCAAAAGAAAGAAGCTGAAGAAGAAGAAGAAGAAGAAGTTGACTACGACAAGGAGGTGGTCAGCATAATATTGATTCACCTATGCATGACATTCCTTTTTGCCAACGCTTCGTCTACTTTGCATTGGAAAGTATTTGAGCACTGTGTGAATCTGGACACACTTTCAAGCTATTCTTGGGCAAGTGCTGTTTCAGCCTACATGAATGAATCCTTGGTCGCAAAAGCAAAAGCAAAAGCAAAGAAGGGAGGAGAAGGCTCTATAGGAGCTGTTTCGGGTTGCATTATCCTAATATTGGTATGCATTTTGAGTTTTAGGCAATGCAGTTTCCCTTTAGTGCAATGCAGTTTCTGTTTTATCCTAAGCAGTTTCCAACCTAATTTATGATATATCTTGTTTTTGAACTGTGCAGTTTCTACTGTGTGAGAGGACAAACATAATACAACCAATCCTGGGCAAAGAGAAAGAAACTCCTGCCATTCTTAAATGGAGTCTTGTGGAACTCCACACAAGATTCAACCAAATAAAGGACTTGAATGACATCGAGGTATGCAATTTATCGCATGTTGTTCTACTTTAATGTATCTTGAATGTGAATTCATGCCAAATCATTCTCATTGTACAGGGTATTTTCAAAACTCCTAAAAAGCGAAAAACTACCAGGGAAGAGGAAGACACTGTTGACAAGGTATTTTAGTGAACCACAAACTACATTGCAGTGAACCACAAACTGCATTGCAGTTTCTGTGCTTCTTGAATGTTGCTCATTTCACGCCATGTTGTTATGTAGTTTCTGTTGTGTTTTGTAGTTCTTGTTTTGGCTATGCTGATCTTTCAAATTCATGTCAAGTTGATGCATATTTTCTGGTATATTCTGTTTTTTGCATTTTAGTGAACCACAAACTGCATTGCAGTGAACCACAAACTGCATTGCAGTTTCTGTGCTTCTTGAATGTTGCTCATTTCACGCCATGTTGTTATGTAGTTTCTGTTGTGTTTTGTAGTTTTTGTTTTGACTATGCTGATCTTTCAAATTCATGTCAAGTTGATGCATATTTTCTGGTATATTCTGTTTTTTGCATTTTAGTGAACCACAAACTGCATTGCAGTGAACCACAAACTGCATTGCAGTGAACCACAAACTGCATTGCAGTTTCTGTGCTTCTTGAATGTTGCTCATTTCACTCCATGTTGTTATGTAGTTTCTGTTGTGTTTTGTAGTTTTTGTTTTGACTATGCTGATCTTTCAAATTCATGTCAAGTTGATGCATATTTTCTGGTATATTCTGTTTTTTGCATTTTAGTGAACCACAAACTGCATTGCAGTTTGTATTTTATCCAATGCAGTTTTTGAATCATTCAATCTCATTGTACAGGGTATTCTGCAAAATCCATATCAGTTTCCATTTGAGGATGACACAGAATGTGCTCAACAAAATTCATCTTCGTAAGAATTATGTCTACTCAACCATTCATTACAATTTGAAATCATTCAAAACCAAAAGTTAATCTCGTATTCATTTGCAGGTTGGATTGCGGCATGTTCGTCATGTTCTACATGGATAAAATAGCACAAGGACAGCCCATTCCAAAAAGTGTGGACAAGAAATTCATGAATGAATATCGAGCACAATATGTCACAAAACTCCTACACCACAAACACTGTGTAATTAATCGTCTCTAGTGATTTGCCTTTCGTTAACTCAAGACAATATGTATCTTAATTCTTGTGGATGTTTGTAAATATTTCTAGTTATGGTATATGAGAACATACTTGCAAAAAATTTTCTGAAATTGAATTATCGAATTATCGAACATACTGCGCTGCAGTTTCTGGTCAAAATCTGCACTGCTGCTCAAAAGGTAAAGGCATAATCAAAGTACTAAAACTAATATCAAAACACATTTAACTCCATGAGCAGTTATAACATTCCCATAGTCTAGCAAAAAGTATTCTGAAATTGAATTATGGGACAAGTTCTGTTCAAAATCTGCAACAAATAAACAGAAACTGCAGTGCAGTTTCTGCAACAAAATCTGCTCAAATCTGAAAACAAGCATTCAATGGCAGTAAAAAACGAATATCCACTCATGAAACAATTGTATAATTTTCATTAACTTCAAAAAAGAATCATAATATCCAATTAGAAGCTGTGTAGCCAATTAAAAGCAACTAAAACTGCAATGCAGGTTTTGCAAAAAGTGCAATGCAGAAACTGACTATACATTCACTAAACCATATCTAACGTAAGCAATCGTCAACTGAGAAGGAATGTTCATATCACAGCCTTGCAAGTCTTCCTATTATGCCCAGTAACACTACACCGACTGCATTTCAATGGCCTTTTAAATTCACCAAAAGCTTTGATCCTCTTTGTTGGTGGTCTTCCGGCTGGCCTCTTTGTAATTGGCGGAAGCACAACTCCAGCTGCAAAACTGTTGCTGCCCAAGCCTTTCCCAATATCTGGAATAGGAAAAATAGGACTCTCATAGGCTTTTCGAAAGAAGTCAGTCCTATAGTAACACTCCACGTAATCATAAATTGAATCTTTCTTTGCTAGAATTGCAGCTACCGCATGCGTGCAAGGAAAACCGTCAATTTGCCAAAGACGGCAAGAACAAGTCATTTGCTCAAGATCAACCATCACAGAATAATCAGCAAATACTTCAAAAACAGTGAAACTAGAACGACGAACTACCCAAGTCCTACCGGCCTCCGCATTTTCCCACAGTCTAGTTTCCATCTCCGGACACAAAATTGTTGTCCACTTCTCCGCTTCAATTAGTCGTTGAGAATTCAATACCATCAATTTCTGTCGAATCCCTTCTATCAAAGGTAGCACCGGCAAATCTCGAAACACACCAACCCAATTATTAAATGACTCCGCTAAACTATTTGCCATCTCCCCATACCGCATTCCTTTGAAATATGCGTTCGCATAGTGATCTCTAGACAAATCATATATAAATGTCTTCACTTTCGAACTCCCAACAATCACCAACTCCTCCATTGCTACCGTAAACTCTTCCTCTGTAACAGCATATGCGCACCTACTAAATAAATTGATAACACGGTCTTGGAGCGATTTCCCATAACCTGACTTCGGGTACTTCGATATCAAATTCTGTTTGAGGTGATAGTAACAGTAAGAATGAGGCCATCCAGGAAACACAAACCCCATTGCATTTAACAAACCTTGATTGCGATCCGAGAAAAAGGTCACCACTCTCCCCATCGGTAGCAAAATAGAAGCCAAATGTTGAAGAAACCAAGTCCAATTCTCCTCCGTCTCAGAATCAACAACTCCAAAAGCTAGAGGATAAAACCCTGCAAAACAAAACCAAAAGCACAAGTATAAGCAAAAAAGGGAAATTGCAGTGCAGTTTTTGAAAACAAATCTGCTCAAATTTGAAAGGAAACCAAAAGGCAAATCCATGATTCAAGTACTAAAACTAAGTTTAAAACACATTTAAGTTCATGAGCAGTTGCAACATTCCCACAGACATACAAAAATTATTAAGAAAATCGAATTATGAAACAAGAAACTGCAATGCAGTTTCTGCTAAAAAATTGCAACAAATGGAATCTGCAATACATTACAGTAACCATACCTTGATTTCCATTCTTTCCGGAAGCACAGAGAAGCTGCCCCTTGTACTTGCTCTTCAAAAACGTAGCATCAACGAACAACAAGGGTATGCAATATTGAAATCCAGCAATGCAACCGCCAAACGACACAAAAAACCGTCTAAAGCGATTAATTCCAGCTTCACATTCAAGAGTGCAGAGAGAACCAGGGTTAGTTTCCTTTACGGCGTCCGCATACCACACTAACTCGTTGAAGGACTTCGACTCATCACCGTGAACGTTCAATTTAGCTAACTCTTTGCCAAACCATGCATGGTAGTATGAAATGTCTATACCATAATAATCTTTGAACTCATGTATAATCTCAACTGGCTTCAGCTCTGGTTTTGCACGAATTTTGTCCACAATGAGGGAGGACACCACACGAGACTTCATCATCTTACTCTTTGATTCCCGTATCCGACCCACACATGTATGCACATTATTTAATGTCCGAATTACAAAACAGCCAGTAGCTTCACAACGAGAAGCATAAACACGCCAGCTACAACCCTCCAATTTCTTATTCGAACAAATAGCAACCACCCGCTTCTTGTCATTGCCGGCATATAAAAAATTAAATCCTACTTCAAGAGCGTACTTGCACAATTTCAAACGGAACTCCTCTGCACCACCGTCAAACTTCTGCCCTACATGATGTATGTATGTCTCCCACTCATTCGACAACAAAGGCTTAGCACTTGCTCTCTTCGACCTGCCCAAAAATTCATTTCTGTCTTCGACAGTACTAGAACACGACTCCTCGCCCTTTTCACATGCAATCAACTCCTTATTTACACAAAAATCACCACTATATTCACTGCTTCCGCATAAATCCTTCACTAAAATATCAACACTCTTCTCATTTGATACAAACAAAAATGTCCTCATCATGTCCAAATCGCTATCCGTTTCTAGAAAACAACTCGGATAACTGGGCAGCGAATACCGTAACGTAAAACAACCCAACTGCAAACCCTTAAACCTTAGACACAAAGTCTTCAAAATATCAACCATGGATGACTCTGATGAAACTGAAAACATCATGGTTTCCGACTTATATGTGCACTTGGCAATGACACACACCTCCATTAGCCTTGAAAATGCAAACAAAACAACAAACAAAAACAGAAAACAATTTAAATCAGTAAATAATGTACATGAGCAGTTGTAAAATTCCAATAGACTTCCAAATATTAGTCTGAAATCGAATTATGAAACAAGAAACTGCAATGCAGTTTCTACCAAAACTACAACAAACAGATGTAGTTTATGACAGAAAATCAAAACAATTCGAATAGAAACCAAAAGGAAACCACGATAAAAGTACTAAAACTAAATTCCATAAACATACAAGTCGATATAAACGAAAACAGGTTCTAAAGTACTCATACCTCAAAACTTAGGACTGCCAAAAATCTCCACAACCAAACAGCAGCTTAAAATCAAATCTGATCACGAAACGAAGAATATAGGGTTTAGCATTGAACGCCACAAGATCGCGCCGCAAAATCGAGCCACAAAACTGAGCTCGAAATACCCGAACTAAGGAGAACAGAAATCACCCAAAACTGACAGTCATTCAGCATGCAAATCGAACGAAAACGTAGCAGAAAAAAGAAGACAGAAAAACGAAGAAAATAAAAGCAAAACCTACCAGAAAATTGAGCTCCAATGGCAGAACCCAGCTCTGAAACGAAGAAGAAAACGAACGAAAAAGAAAAGAAACTCGCGCGTCGTTTAAACGTTCAGAGGCAAAAGCGTCATTTAATTTGTAGGTTTACAGATGGGCCAGGCTTTTTAAGAGAAAAGGGTAGAATTGTCTTTTTATTTGTTATTTTTAAGCTGGCCCAACGAATCTGGGCCAGCCTTTGGCCTAATCTAAAATAGCTATTTTTTTTTAAGTATTAAAACCCAAACTAAAATACCTAATATCTCACTTACTAATTAGTAAACTTAATAATGTCTAATACCTAATTTTCCTTTAATTAAATACTAGTGTTTGGGCTTGGTTGAAATTTGACCGGGTTAAGTCCGAGATCCGACAATTAAACTAATAGTGAGCCCAAGTTATATTTCGGTGGGCCTAATCAATGAGGTTGGATAGAAGCCCAAAATCATAAATGTAGCAGAATATCTACATGTGGTGAAATGGCCAAACACATCAATATGACTGAGAGCATAAAAGTGGTCGAAAGCCTATATACAGCGAAGCCTATATGTGGCCGAAAGCATAAAAATGGTCGAAAGCCTATATGCAGTCGAAAGTGTAGATACGGTCGAAAGCCTATATGTGGCCAAGAGCATAAAATCAGTCAATGCTTAATTAAGGAGAGAGATAATCCGTAGGAGGATTTTCTCATAGGTTACAATTCAAATATGGAAGGAATTATGCCAAATGGTCAATTGAAGTTATTGTTGGGAGAGCTCAAGATGGAAGGAAAATCAAATCAAATATTATTATTCACATTAAATCACACGCATGAGACAAAGGATTGAAGATATTCTGGAGCAATTATGATTAATTTGAAGGCCAATTGACAACTGACCAAATTGAGAAGCACCAAAGCCCCTATAAATACCACGCTTATGGAAGAGAGAAAGGACCCCCGACACAACACACAACTTGTCATTTTACATTCTCTTCAATTTCTATCCTAGGAGTAGCATAATGTAGTCATAGCCTAGTTCTTATTTTTCCTGTTTTAGTTTCCGTAGATTTCAATTATGCCTTTACATTCTTGTTCTTGTTTTTCAATTCTATTTTAATTACAATAACTTCAATTCATGTTTCTTTATTGTTCTTCGTAATCTAGTTTTTCCGCCCTTTACTTTATGCACTCGCATTTCAATTATTTAATTTACGCAATTTACATAACGCACTCGTCTTTAAATTCTTTATTTCACACACTTTAAATTACGCACTTGTCTTTACATTCTTTATTTTTCGCACTTTAAATTACGCACTCGTCTTTAAATTATTTATTTTACGCACTTTACTTTCCACACTTATCTTTTAATTATATTTAAATTTAAGCACTTTTTATTTTACGCACATGTTCTTCTTTTCATTACATTTCACCTTCAATCTTTATTTCCACCCATTCCACATCATTTGGTTGCTCACATAAAGCCTTGACTCTGAGTTAGTGAAAGAACCTAGGCCGTGATGAAGTTCCTTGCTCGGCATAACAATCGTTTGATTAAAGTTAGATTTCGGACGTGTCATTTACTTACATTCCATTCAAGCTTAATTCTCGACTTGGTGGTAGCACGCTCCGCACTCAATTAAAGAAGGACCAAAACTTCCTTCCGTCGGCCGCCTCGGCCGAAAAGGGGGAAACAACTTGCTTGAACAAGTCCATATTAATTTAGCTCAGTCTAGTCATTCTTGAATACCATTCAATGGATGACAGCTACACATGCATATGTTTCTTTCTTATTTTTTCTTTTCGAAATAGCTCTTGTTTGTTTGTTTTTTTTCCTTTTGCCAGAAAACTCCCATCTATTTAGTGTGTATTATTTTATGAATAAGCTTGTATTTTACTTTGTCCCTTACCCCGGAAAAAAAAAATTGTGTTGTTCCAGTTTCAGAGATAGCTGTCAAAATTTGTGTTCAACAAGAAGGGTTAAAGAAGAACAAGGGCCTTTTCACCCAAAAAAAAAAGAAAAGAAAAAAAAAAGAACAAGGGCCCCATTCCATTTGTTGGATTGGTGAAACCAACTGGCAGATTCAAATTCCCACGACCGGGACCGGGGTCTACTAAGCAAATCAAATCTTCCACGGCAACGAGGTCACGCGTTTTGATTTGTTTTATATTTTGTGCAAAGGAAATTCACACCCTAATGTGAGGTAAGATGGGTTAGTTCACTTTAGGGATCAAAGCTTTAGCTTACAAAACTATACCAAGTTGCAAGGATTTGAAGAAGGCCAACCTTGTATGATTTGGTTGGCTATTTTAAGATATTATAGTTTCCCTCATATAATAGAAATTAATTAATTAATTGAGAATGTTGCCTATGATATTATTGTCATCATTTATCATGATTGTTGTTATTGCCACTATATATAGCTAAAAACCTTTTCCTTTTTTTTAAAATTTAAAATTTTACATTTAACAATCGGCGCTACAAAATCACCACCATGCCCGGGGACCAAGCAAGGCATAGCTAGTGCCGATAGGCATTGGTAGCTGGCTTCCAAGTCTTGACTTATATAAAAGTTGTTTGACTCAAAAGTAATTAGGATTTAAACTTATATGTTTATTCTTCTCTTAAGCCATCTCCAACTATGTTGAGGCTAAACTCAAATTTTCACCCTCTAAAATACAACTTTTCATGTATGTTTAGGACTCAAATTTTTTTTTTTCCCTCCAACCTTGCAGACTCATAATTTGAGTTCGCAACTTTATTAAATTATTTAAGAATGATTAACCGCTAAATTTTTTTTTCTTGACATTATTTTTGTTTCAACACTCGTGATTTAATTTTCTAAACATTTTAACCTAAAAAAATTAAAATTCCAAAATATAATAGAATTTCACTTAAAAATAAAAACATTGCCATAATTTACTTTTACTTTTAATTCATTGGATTTCTTGAGATTGCTTAAAAAAAACTAATCATAGAAAAATAAACGACAATCATTAAATTTGACCGTTGAGATTGCATAATGATTGTTGATTACACATATAGTTGTTGGAATATTTTTTCAAAAAAACAGCAACATCAGATTTTTTGAAAATATGGCTGTTGTCCATCAATAATGAAATGTGCTACAGCTTTTTCGCACAAAGTTGCTGCCCAAACAGAAACTCCCAGTGGGCCCATCAAATATTGTTCAGCACGTGGGCTTCAGCCAAGAAAAAAAAAGAGGGCAGATTTTGGGCTTCAGCGGATTTTAGTGTATAAGGTACCTTCCCACGACGGTATTATAACACTCGTCGTCTTTTCAAACACCACGACAGTTTTTATATAAACGATCGTCTATTGGGTGTCGTACTTTGACATAATTGTAGTAGTGTGTGTGTGTATAATACATGAACTAAACGTGAAATGTATTTTGCAGTATCTTTTAAAAATACGTACATATATGTATATAGCACGAGATTATATGTGAATTTACCAAGTGCCCAAACAACTTAATTAGTATGTTTAGAAAATTTGTTGGGGGCAAGTGTCCTCTTGTTTTGTGTATAATTATAATACCTAGAATATCGTTTTCAAGATCCTTATAATGAGTTAGCATCGATCTTCTTCTCCTCTGCAAATCTGTCAGCTGCTGCATGCAGATGCAGAGAGCACATGCAATTTTTGAATCCAACAAGTTTTCCTAAAAAACAAGCATTTTCACTACCACACGCTAGATTTTTGAATCCAACAAGTTTTCCCTTTTCCTGTTGGCTTTCTCTGTCACATAAGTTATAGAGATTTGATCGATCAGTGAAAACACTAGGAAAGATGTGTATATAAATAGGCATATATGCACACAATGCTATGAATGCAAACCCTTCACTTGAGAAAGTTGAGAGCTTTCTCGCGCGACTCAGTGCCTTTCCTTTTCTTTCAACCTCCTCCATCTCCTTCATCTCCATATTTTTCCACTCAACTCAATTGATAATAGCCGCCCGCGCCCTCTTCTAGTCTATATATATTTGCTTCTTTTTTGTAAATCTCAGAAGTTACAAATTCATGATCGAAACAGTACCTCATATTGTCTTTATTTCTTTATTTAGCTTAAGTACGTACTATCATTGAACCTAGCCCTAATTAGGCCATGGACCTAGTAACGTCTACAACTCCCAAATCTTGGTTTAGTTGCAAAGCCACACAGCCACAAAGCCATCAACAATATTGTTCCTACATGGCGGTTGCCCTGCATGCTCTGCATTCATCCACCACTACCGTTATCACATTCTTCCTATTAAGGAAGTTGAGGTTCCACTCTGAAACCAATTGACAATTGAGGGAGTAGCTCAACTCCTTATAAGTCCATACTAGGTTTCTCAACTCTCCAATGTGGGATTTTTACCTTTACATTCTCACAGTCCCAACGTCAGGATCGTCGTTACACTTGCCCTTGCATGGACCATTGCAGAAGGAGATGGCGGTTGATGAGAGAGGGAGGGAGATAAGATTGAAGATGATGAGGGAAAGAGAAAACCATATTAACATTACATTTGCCATTTGAGAAGGATTTTTCGGAATATTAACCAGTCGTAGTGAGCTGTGGTCAGAGGAGGAGGTAGCATGCACTTTTATATAGTTTACTAAAGGTGACTTCCATTTTGTTTTCTTTCCGAGACTTCTCACGACCTCTTTGTATGTCATCCTAGTGATGTCACAAAAGGCATATTATTATAAGCAGGCCTCAAGTTGTTATGTTAATTTCCTTTTGCGCATTTGGGGAGAAGAGGAATATTCCTAACCACCCCACAAACTCTTGGTACGTAATATTCCATGTTACTGGCAAGGTAGAGGAATCCATATCATCAAAAGATGCCATGATCGGTTAAAAGGGAAATTTTAGTCAAAAGAGGCAACAAGACTTAGAAAGTCTCCTCTAATTTTCCGAGAATAAATTATTCCAGATCCATTAAAAGAAAAGAAAGAAAAAAACCATAGATGGAATCCCCTCATGGACAGGAGAGGGAGGGAAATTTTAACCAAGGCAAATAGCATAAAAGCAGTCGCCAATTTATTTATGTTAAAAACTCATAGGTAGAATTTTCCTATAAAAACTGGCTTGTAAAAACAAAGGGTCCCAAGAATTTATACAAGCGATAGTCTAAATTACTCTTAGTTAATATAGTCTATAGTGAAACAAATTCGAACTTGAATGTAAGAAGCAAACTCGCTACCGTCTAACCCACGTCTGCTAATATATTTGATATAAATATTAAATATTAGAGGAGTGAGACAAATGAAGATTGCCAAACCGAACCAACTGAGTATATTATGGTGCTCAAACTTGAATGTTTTAATATTTATCGAGTTCTCATGATGTGGGTTTAGAAGTGAAATTTATTGTCATATAAGTTATTCAATTTACTTTCTCTTTGCACTACTTATATTACATAGGCGACTTGCGATATCATTTCACCGCTTATTTTGAAGGCTACATACAGTGTGATATAGCATAACCTTATATTCTATAATAATTTATCGCACAAGTACGGATACAATAACTAATTAACTAGGCCGTGGACCAAGTAACCTCTGCAGAACCCGGCTCTGTGTCGAGCGACAAAGCCTCCCAAACAGCCGAAGAGCCGTCAACAATATTGTTCTCACACGGCGGCAGAAATCCATGCTCGTCATCACATCCATTCTGTGAATCACATTGGTCCACAACTTTGGCTTCCACACTCATCCCGTTACTTACCGCAGTAATTATTATCGTCATATTGCACCTTCCACTAAACCACCCAGTGGAAAGTGCAACAATCTTTTCAGTATTTTTATGGAATTGATTGTCACACTCTGACTCGGCGCCGCCCTCACCGCCTTTGCTGAAATCGTTGTGTGTGAGTTTGGCACTCGTGGGCGGCATGACTGGCGGGGAGCATGTGTATGTAGGGAAATTTTGGCCATCATTGCAAGCGAGAGTTCCTGAGGGCCCGCAATCATCACTGCTAGGTTGTTGCGATGACGCCTGACGTATGCATGAGTTGCAGGTGGGGTGGGACTCCATAGCCATTGATGGGTGAGGGAGGAGGAAGATGATATTGAATAACATGAGTGAAAGAGGAACAAACATGAACACTAAACTTGCCATTTTACAACTTGTGGTAGTGAGGCCCTGATATCAGAGAAGGTGCAGTTTTATAGTGACTAAAGGTGCCTTTGGTCTAGCGGCATGTTGCTATTAATGAGAAAACAAAATTGAAAAAATAAAAGGAACTTAACTAGAACCAAAGTCTTTGCCATTTTGATCATATACTTCCAGACTTCTTACTGACGTGATAACAATTGGTGATTGGAATAGTGCCACCGTGCCAGCCAAAAGAGGCAACCAGACTTGAAGTCAAGGTCTTCACTCTTTGTTTGTTTTTTAAATTTATTTACTTTATCTTGTCATATGGGGATGAACCCCATAAGACACGAAAGAAAACCCAGGCTGTGTCGTGTTCACTCTCTAGTAAGTCTTATATTTTTTGGGTTTTAATTTTTCAAAGTCTCGGTCTTTACTTTGTTGTGTTGTCCTGTAATTACGGTGTAGTTTGGTATTCTATTCAAGTATGAAACTTCAAAAACTTTAATTTTTATTAAAAACAAAGAGTTCTAAAATTCAACATGCATAAAGGCTAGGCAAAGCTTGTGACCTGTCTACATGCTTAGGCAACTGGTCCTTCATTAGTTATGCCATGCTTCTTTGGTCAACATGCATGTTAGTCAATTATACATAATAAGATTGCAAGATTCACAGCTCACGGGGTAAACTTTGAGCGTTACGATTACACTGTTGTGTGGTGGTGATACTAATCAATGTGTTGAAATATGAATGTATAACATGATTTATATGTCAAGGATCTAACGTATCATATTAATAAACAGATGCGTGCAACAACATGTGTAGATTCATAACAATACTTATGGGTGTCTCACACAAAAAATTATTTCAACTCAATGGGTATTTGTTAGTCATCCATAGTATTAGCTTAAAGGTTATATGTGATCGAGTACTGATGAGGGGTAATGGGGTTATTCTTTATCACAATATATGTTTTAGATTATTAAAGTGTAGCGCATATATATATATATATATATATATATAGGCTTATTATCACAAAATGTCTCTAAGGTTTACGAAACTATCAAGTTGCATCCCTAATGTTTTTTGATACGTGTGTGAACCTCGGGGATATTTTGTGATATATATATGCCACATCAGCAAACTAACGGAATTTTTTACAGAACCTAACGGCAGGAACCATCTGTGATCACACATACTAACTTTGAGAACCACGAATGACACAAAAAAAAACATTAAGAATGCAATCTGATAGTTTCGTAAACTTTAGACATATATTGATAATAAGACATATATATATATATATATATATATATATATACATATGAGCCACATAAATTTGCCAATTCATGATCGAAGTACATCTTGTCTTGGCATCATTTTGACCTTATTTCTTTATTTAGCATAAATACGTACTAACTAGGCCATGGACCAAGTAACGTCTACAACTCCCAAATCCTGGTTTAGTTGCAAAGCATTCCACACAGCCGCAGAGCCATCAACAATATTGTTCCCACACGGCGGCAGCCCTGCATGCTCTGCATCACATCCATTACGTGAATCGCATTCGTCCACCACTCTCGCTGTCACACTCTTCCCATTACTTGCCGTAATTCTTATTATCTTTCCACACCTGTTCTTCTTATCAAACCACCCAGTGGACAGTGCCACAACCGCTCAGTGTTGTTATGGAATCGCTTGTCACACTCCGATGCACCCCCTCCATCCCCACCTTCACTGAATTGTTGAGTGTGAGTTTGGCTTTCGTGGACGACGTCACTGGTGGGGAGCATGTGTATTTAAGGTATGATTTCCCCTTACAATAGAAAGTTCCCGAGGACTTACAATTGTCAGGTGGGGATGAGCCCCCACCTCCGCGGCATGTGTGGGTCCCGACATCAGGGTCGTCGTTGCACTTGCCCTTGATGCATATGAGCTGACCAGCACAGTCGTTGAGGGTTTTGCATCGACCGTTGCAGGAGGAGATGACGGTTGATGGGAGAGGGAGCAAGATAAGATTGAAGATGATGAGGGAAAGAGAAACCAACATTAACATTAAACTTGCCATTTGAAAAGGATTTTTCGCAATAGTATCAGTAACTAGTCGTAATGAGAGTGGTTGGAGAAGGAGATTAGCATGCACTTTTATAGTGTACTAAAGGCGACTTTTATTTTCATAAAAATAAAATAAAAAAAGGTGACTTCCATATTGTTTCCTTTTGGCCTTTGAGGAGGAACTTTCCTAGACTCCCCACAACGAGAAATTTTTGTTTATAACTTTAATACCGTGGTGTTATTACTTTACCACGGGCATGTTTTGTTGTGTTGTTACGGTTACACTGAAAATTTCATTCGATTAGGAGATATAATTGAACATTAATTTTGTTTAGTTTTTCGCATTTAAGGAGAAACTCTCGTAGACTTATCGTAAATATGTATGTATGTCAGCCGACTAATGTCATCATGCATACTTTAATTTATTTAATTTTTATTTTTTTTTGTACAAACGACAATTTAAACTATAAGGAGAAAGAGAGTTTCTTACATACACACTATTCAAATGTCATAAAGATTCGAACCTAAGATCACTGATTAAACCGAATCGCTTCCCGTCGGCTCAATTGTTTCTCGCATTTAGGGATTAATATTCCTAGTCTACTCCCAACAAACTGTTGGCATGTAATAAAGAAAAGAGGAACGCTAATGATGAAAAGCGACTATGATCAATTAAAGGAAATGTTTAGTCAAAAGAGGCAACGAGACTTGAAGTCTCCTCTAGTGGCATGTCCACTAACTCTTGCGAGCATATATTCAAGAGCCATTAAAGAAACATATATATATATTCAAGCCCAGTGGACGGCGGAGATGGAGAGGTAATATATTAATAAACTGAGGGAAAGAGAACACAAAAGTACTAGGCAATATTATCGACGGATGAGCGGGGGGATTGAGACAAAGGAGATTGGATGAACTAGTAGCTTATAATTTCGGTTAGCTAGCTAGGCCATTGACCAAGTAACAGGAACAACGCCCAAATCTTGGTTCAGTCCCAAAGCATTCCATACAGCCGCAGACCCATCAACAATATTGTTCCTACACGGCGGCTGACCTGCATGCTCTGCATCACATCCAGCACGTGAATCGCATTCATCCACCACTTTGGCTGTCACACTCTTCCCATTGCTTGCCCTAATTCTTATCATCTTCCCGCACCTCGACTTATTATCAAACCACCCAGTAGAAAGTGCCACAACCCTCTCACTATTTGCATGGTATTTTTCGTCACAATAAGACGGGCCACCACCGTCCCCACCTTCACTGAAATCGTTGAGGGTAAGGCTGGCTTTAGTGGATGACGTCACGGGCGGGGAGCATGTGTATTTAGGGTATGATTTTCCCTGGCAAACTAGAGTTCCTGAGGGTTGACAATTATTCGTGGTAGGAGGTGGCGATGATGGGCCTCCCCCTCCCCCGCATTCGTTAGACCCAATATCAGGGTCGTCGTTGCACTTGCCGTTGATGCAAATGAGCTGGCCCGCGCAATCGTTGAGGGTTTTGCAAGCGCCGTTGCAGGAGGAGATGGCGGTTGATAGGAGAGGTAAGGTGATTATATTGATCAAGATGAGGGAAAGAGAAACCAACAACACTGAAGTGCTTGCCATTTTAAGAACAAAGATTTTGGACCATTAACGAGTTGGGTGTGTGAGACAAAAGGAGATTGCATCTCATATTTATAGTGATGAGTTATATAATAATTGAAAGGACTATCAGATTACCAAAGCCGCCGTCAAATTATTCTGGTCGATGCATAGTCGTGCAAATTTGAATGGGGTTTGAAGCTCAACTTGCCTATAGAGAGAGGCAACGCCCATGCTGATGGGTTAAGCCAAAGTCGCTATTTGACTGCTCTTACAAGTTGATAACTCGGCTAGTTGCCTATTTCGTAGAAGTTTCTCCTCCATTCTTACATGTTTTCTCCTCCACATAAGATTTTAGTACCCATGCGACCCCATGTACCTAATATTTACAAATTACAAAGATGGTCTCGAGTGGTTTTAGATGGTACCACAGGTTCATAATCAAATTGTACCCAAACTTAATTCTAGTGCCTTTTATCTCTCTCTCTCTCTCTCTCTCTCTCTCTCTCTCTCTCTATATATATATATATATATATATATATATGCTTTTCCCCCTAAAACAACGAGGCACATCTTGCATTTACCTGTTTGCTTTTACAACGAGGCACACTTATATTTATAGTGCCGATCACATTGATGCGAATTATTATTAGGGATTCTTAGTCCTATTTTGTTTAGATATAATAGATTCATGACATCATAAGAATGGTTTAAGTCTAATTTTTTTTTTTTAATGGAAAACTTTTCTTCATTTAATCTTTTTAAATAACATCATAAATTAATTTTTTGAACAATTTGACCTAAAAAAAATTGAAATTCCATAAATTTAATTTTATTCCAAAAGTAAACACACAACATAATTAAAGTTACTATTAGAATTTAAAAAAAAAATAAGACTATTAGATTGCAACGCCACTTTGAATTGGAATAAAGCCAGCCTGTGGCCCAGTCTCTTTTTAAAGATACTATTAGATTTATATAAATAAACAAATAAATAAAGGAGACATTGGAATTGCAACGACTCTTTCACCACAAGCAGACACGTGGCATGGGCAACAGACAAACCCACATGAGCTGGTCCCAACGCGAGTCCTAATGTTTTTCTCATGCACATGGGCTATGCCACCTCAGCGTGGGCTCCACTAAATAGTTTTGGGTTCATGCAAAACTTGGACTGGTATTTGGGTTTTCTCAAATTTGGGTCCTTCATTTTCTTGGGTTGGAAGAGATTTTGAACAATAATTTGGGATATTTTGGGTTTAGGTCCTTAGGTTAGAGATGGCCTTAGGGTGTAAAATGTTAGGAATATACTGTTTTTAAAATGACCTACTTTTAAGGATGACGATTTTTAAAAACCGTAGTATGTCTTATTTGCGTCAAAGGCAAAATCTAAAAATCACTGTTACAAGGCGGAGAATGCCTATTTATTATTTATTGACTAATTTTCTTTATTTATTTATTATGTTTCAGTGGGAGAAGAGAACTTATCAAAGTTATAGGCAAAAAGAAATTGGTGAAGTGCATGGTGAATGGGCAGACTTGTGGGTAATTTAGAAGTACATAGACTTGTGTTTTTGTGGATATTATCCAGTTTCTTTTGTCTTTGGTTAACTTTACGCCAATCAGTTATATATGTAAGACAATTTATTGTCTTAGTCTTTGAAAGATGATCTTCTAATCCTAAGAGGACTCGAGTATTTTGGTTGATTAGGGAATAGAACTCAACTTTATCAGATAAACACTTGTACAGAGCTTATTAAAGTAAAACACAAGTGTTAATAGGATTCCTAATACAATATGGATTAAAACAAACCCAGTCTAATGCAAAAAGGACACTCGAATGCTTCTTGATAGGCAAGGCATTCGAGTGATGCATGTATAAATAGGGGTTCCTTCCCTTGCAGCAAACACTCTCGATACAGATTCTCACCCTATCTAAGAGACAAGAGATTATACGGTGCTGCATAGGTGAAGAAGATTCTCTACAATTACCATGGCTGAACAAGGTTAGTATTATGGTATAAAAACCTAGTATGGACTAACAATATATGGCTAAATTAGTTCGACATTGGAATAATTCTTTTGTATTTTGGTTAACTTTGGGCCAAAAATTTATGCTCAAAGCATGCTTGTGTAGAATTCTTTTGTATTTTGAAGCATTTGGTTATAAGAGAACACTTTTGATGAAATTTTTTTATTGAAATATTTTGAAACAGATTTTGAGAATTGAAAAGGTCCATTAATTGCAAATGAAACAACCCGAAAAAAAGATATAAATCCACAAATATCACTACAAAATATAGAGATAGACACGATGCTAATGAAATAAAATTGTCGTCTAATGATCATTAAGACGACAAAAAATAACAAAAAGTCTAGATATCAACAAACAAAGAAAAAATATGTCGTCTTTAAATAAACTGTATGTTGTCTTAATTGATAAACAGACGACAGAATTGTGAACTGTCGTCTAATGACCATTAAGACAACGGTGAAATGTGACAATAGACGACAGTCACCTATACGACGGTCTAGAAGCACATTAGAAGACGGCAGACCACCGTCGTCTATTACGTTTTTTGTTCTAGTGTATTTAAATCAAGACAAATATATAGGTTTGATGTATTTTCCCCCAAAACAGGGCAACAACCCAAAGAAACCTCCACCAGTCCACCTGAAGAAAGAACAAAGAGAAGAATGCAAAAACAAGAAGGAAGAAGAGGGGATAGGGGAGGAGGGGCAGTGGTACCTCCTCCTCCCCCAAATGCATCGCTAAGAGTTTTGGGTTCATTTGGCTAATGAATTTAAACACACAATTTAACATTTGTCACAGTGGTGTTACACAATATCGCCTACACTTTCATTATTTGGCCATGATCCATGTAGACAAAGAAATTTTGGCGGAATAAATTCCATTAGATAAGAAAATAAGGGCTCGATGGATTAATTGTGGGGAGCATAATTCGCCCATGTGGCGTATGACTCATAAAAATCGGATTAGTTGTCAAAAGTGACACGTGTCGACATCCGACGGAGTGCATCAAACGGTTCAAAGTGAAAACAAAATTAAAAGAAAGAATCCTCTATGATTGACTTCGATTCAAATAAAATATTAATCAAGTCAGTCAATCGAAGATAATTTGGTTAAATTGCCAAATTATTGGAATTGATTTTAAATCAAATCAAAATCTCACAAAACAAGGTTTTAAAGAATGAAGTTATTTAGGTCAAGCATCCTGTAGGAACCTATAAATAGGAGGCCTCAAGACGAAAGAAGGGAGCTTAGACAAACCAAGCACTCATAAGAAACATAAAACTCTCTGCATTCTTCACCTTACTTTGGAAGAGCCACAAAACACAACAAATACGTGCCGGTTCCTCCACACTAGAAAAATCCAAACACCAAACAAGCCTTGTGCTACCCGGTTGATCAAGATCAAGTTTATACGACCCTTGTATCAAACACAAATTTTCTTTAAACACTTCGGAGATCAAATCAGAGGAATTAATACGGAGATTGTAACCCTAAATGTCATTAATACAAATATTATTTTGTACACATGTTCTTGTCTCATTTGTCACAGGAAATTCGTGTTTACAATCCAACTAACGTCAACAACCCCTAGATCTTTGTTTAGCCCCAAAGCGTTCCACACACCTGCAGAGCCATCAATAACGGTGTTCCCACACGGAGGGAGACCCGCATGCTCTGAATCACATCCTTTCACCGAATCACACTCGTCAACCACTTTCGCGGCCACACTCCTCCCAGTAGTAGCACTACTCGCCGAAATTACTATCATCCTTCCACACCTTGATCCGCCATCGTACCACCCCGTGGACAGTGCGACAACAGCTCATTGTTGTCGTGAAATTGGTTGTTGCACTCCGACCAGTGAGTGTGAGCTTGGCGCTTGTGTAGGAGGCCACCGGCGGCGAGCATGTGAATTGTGGGTACGACCGACCATTGCAAACCAGAGTTCCTGAGGGATCACAGGTGATGGTCGTTGATGGGAGCAGGAGGTAGATGATATTGCAGATTATTGGAAGAGAAACCAACAACTTTAAACTTCCCATTTCAATTCATTGATAAAATTTATTATTAATATTAAGTAGGGATCATTGCATGCATGAACTTATATAGTGAATGTTTAAGCTGAACAGGTCTATTTTTGTTTCTTTTAGGCGTGCTGTTTTTTTGGAATTTTACTATGGCACTCGTCACAAAGTCTTTGCATGTAGTGTTGCATGTTGTTGAATAAGAAGATGACATATATATTTTATTATTGGGTGACTCATATTTAAGAAGATGATAAATACTACAGTTAATTATATATCGAGTCAATTAGTTTTGGTCATCTCCAGCAATGCATGCCCCTCCAGATATATATTGTTTCTAATTTATGTTTTGGCCGGCTTGTCTCATCAAATCACACACACTTTGGAAATTACTTTGTGCCTCTTCCCCAATATGTGTCTTTTCTTTTCGGGTGAGATTTCTTAGGGAGTATTTGGCCCCTGTATCTACACGAAATCTTAAATCCAAGCTTAGTTCATTAATTACCAGCAATACATGATTACTGGTGATGTTTATAATTAAGGTAAAGTATTCGTGAGACTCGCAGAGAAATCCGAGGTTAACAATGGATATGCAGAGCTAGTCTCAACACGACCCCTTACGTGGGCGTCTTTTGCATTAAACATGTTATTGTGATATATAGAAGCATATATGTAAAATGTGAACATCTAATCCAAAACCAATTGGGAATGGGACCAACGATTTTTTAAGCTCTTAAGCTAAGCTGGGATACTCCCAACAACGACAACTACATAAATATAACAAAACACCAAAATGGGAAAATTAATTCCATAAATTACAAATTCATGATCCAAACAATACTATACGTACTTCTCGGCATCATGGTATATCATACATATGAAACGTAGTCCTTAATTATTTCATTTATTTAGATTAATTAAGTACTACTACGGTAGGGTCGTGACTTAACTAGGCCAAGGACCAAGTGACGTCCACAATCCCTAAATCTTTGTTCAATCCCAAAACATTCCACACTGCTGCAGACCCATCAACAATGTTGTTCCTACACGGCGGCAGACCTGCATGCTCTCTGTCACATCCGTTCACCGAATCACACTCGTCCACCACTTTCGCTGTCACACTCCTCCCATTGCTCGCCGTAATTCTTATTAACCTTCCACACCTTGACCCCTCGTTATACCACCCAGTGGAAAGTGCCACCACAGGCTCACTGTTGGAGTGGAATCTCCCGTCACACTCTGACGGGTCCCCACCTTCACCGCCTTCGCTGAAGTCGTTGAGCGTGAGTTTAGCTCTCGTGGATGATGTCACTGGGGGCGAGCATGTAAATTGGGGGAATGATTTTCCCCCGCAATTGAGAGTTCCTGAAGACTTACAATTGCCTCCTCCTCCTCCTCCTCCACCTCCGCCTCCGCCACCACTGCATATGTGTGTCCCAACAGCGGGGTCGTCATTGCACTTGCGGTTGATGCAGGTGAGCTGACCAGCACAGTCGTTGGGGGTTTTGCATGGACCTTTGCATGAAGAGATGGCCATTGTTGGGAGAGGAAGGCTAATGATATTGATTAAGATAAGGGAAAGAGAAACCAACATTAAGACTAAAGTACTTGCCATTTGAGAAACTATTCGGAATATTAAGTAGAGGTGGGGGGTGATCTGAGGAAGGAGATTGCATTTGCTTATATACTGAACATAAGTGGACGTCCAATATGTTCCTTTAGGCGTACGTCTAGGAGGAATGCTTGGAATGTCACTATAGTACCCGTCACAAAGTCTTGCACTTCATCTATGTGGATGCTACGAAGATGACGTATATAATTATAGTTAATAGGAATACCTACATAATTTATTGATTGATATTCATATATATCAAATGGACCATACATGCAATTGTATGTTTGCTTGATCACATATATGTGATAGTCATGGAAATTTATAGCCGATTTATGACACATTGGATAACATGATGACATGATATTACAAATGTACCTAGGTAAGACTTTTTCAACTCAAAATCAATTGTGTTCGATATTACAAGCATCATGACATTTTAAAGCTTCACTTTCTTAATGTGGAATAATAATGCTCAACATGTCCCTTCATATGTGCTATGACTTGAATGAAACACGTGAAGAATTTATATTGAGTAACGTATAGTCGTCTGGCCTTACACATGAATTACTTACTCTATCATAATAAGAGTAGAGTATGCATTGCAATACTTCACTGTCTCTAAAAGAACAAATGATTAATTAAAACGATAACGACAAAATCTCCCCTTAAAATTTTATAACAAAGAAGTTGTAGAATATTATAGAGTTTTGTTTCTCATAAAACATGAGAGAGGAAGTCTTCCGTCTTAATTGATCTATCTAACACTGCCGATATAGATAAAGAATGTGTTAACCTAGTATATAATTACAATTGTAAATTCTAAAAAAATGTGGGAATGGTACCAGCTATACCATGCTAGTGAAAAGGGACAACGAGACTTGAAGAAAAAGAAAAAGATTCTATTCTTTTGCCATAACCAAAGAATCAAGTACAACCACGCTAGACAACCAGAAAGAGTAAAAATATTAATTCCATTACTGCATTACAGCCCCATAACCCTCCACACGCAAGAAAACGAGAACTTGAAGTTTCTTTTTTGAGTAAAACTTTTTGGCATATCCACTAGATTATTCTTTGATGTTATATTTTTTAAGGTCTCGACTCTTGAGGCTTCACTTTTATGTCTTGCATGTAATAGTTGTCTTGCCTGCAATTATTGTATATATTTAGGTGAAGATGATGATTTATTTATCTTCTTTTTCAATAATGTTGTTTATACCACATTCCAAAGTATGTGGGTCCCATTTGTATTACACAGGTGGTCAGTAATTTGTAGTCAATAACTGTGGTACAAATAATATCACCTTGTTTTTTTAACACTAAAAGAAATTACAAAGAGGATATCCTCTAGGAACCCGAGAATGATTATTTATCAATTGAGGACTTGGTTCTCAACGTTATATTATATGCAAGTTACAATCCATTAAATATATATCTTTTTTTTTAATTCAAGCGGTAGTCAAAATTACAGGAGGATGGGGATTTCAAACTGGAGACCACTAGTCTGCAAGTCAATACCCGTTTTTCACTAAGCTACATCCTGTTGGCAATATATATATATATCTTTTTATGCTACCACTCATATAACTGGTTAGATTTATTCAATCATTAATATGTAAGTCCACAACATAGTTTTCACTAAACGTCGTTGTGCATTGTACAGAAAACAGATATAAACATATGTATGATGCCCTAAGCGTTGGATTTATGTATTCTTCAAAACCACTCATTTTTAGTTCATTATTAAAGGAACATCTCTGAAAAAAAAACAAAAAAAAACTAAATAAATAAGTCAATTTTGAAATCATTTAATCATTTAACCATTTAACAGTTATCATGAATATTTACATTTTTTACAGAATATCTGGTTCATATGTTTATTTAATCACAGTTAGATGACTAAATGCAGTTTAATTTGGCTAATTATTTGTTAGAATTTTCTTCTTCTTTTTTCTTTTTTTTTAGGACCTTTTCTATTGAGATTGGCGATAATATACTAAACTCACACACACTACACGAATGCTAAGACTCAAACTCAAAACCTTAGTTGAAGGAGTAAATACTCCAACCCACTACACTAGCAGGTCCTTTACTTGTTAGAATTATCTTTGAGTGTTGATCTAAAATATGAATAGTGATAGAATATTATAAAATAGGCCCAAACGAGTTGTTAGCTCCATATCAAAGTCTATTTTTGTGATGTCATGCATGCAAATTGCAATACATTATTAAGGAAGCCCATTCTGTATTTGTCGTTTCGGGAAAATTCTACTGCATCGCTCCGAAAATCCCTGTATATCAAAAAAAGGAGCTAAGTTTAAGAAGAAAAGAAAATTGCAAAATGATTGGTTCGCTTGGGGTGGAGACAATAACTAAATATGGAAAAATATTTCAAAATCAAAATAAATAAAGAGATAAAAAGGATCCTATCCTTTTCTTCTGCTTCTGTCACTGGTTTTCATTTAACTGATGGAATGAAATGGCAACAACTTTTTCATAAAAAACAAATGGCAACAACTTTGGCAAGTAGGCCTAACAGTCATAATATTTGATGGAAACAAGAAGAAAAACTTATGCCACAAGGAAAAAAAAACAAGAAATAAGAAATACATATTGACACTTTGAGCTAACGCAGTCAGGAACGGACCCATGCACATGCTAACTTGGGCTATAGCACAGGTGATTTGATCTTTTATAGCCCAACGTTAATACCCAGCCCACCCAAGTGCACCCCACACACCCCTACTCAGCACAACTGCTATATTTACTTACTCATCAGTGCCCATGCACTCAAGTACTCAACCAACCTTTACTCATCCAACGGTTGGTTTTTAAAACGTAATACTCACTCATTGAAGCTACTCAAGCATGATTCGATACTGTTAGTGCAATTAATACCTAAATGGAAATTTTTTGAAAATTAATACCAACATCAATTTTCTTTCTTCTAAAGATTTTTTACTATTCAATTTTCCCTATAAAACCCACCTATTTCTTCAAAATTTTCACACCACCAAAATCATTTACCACTCTTTAATTGGAATCATTTTGGCTTTCTATCTTCAGATTACCAAATTGGAGAATCACCAAGGCCTTTCAGCGATTCGACGCATCCCCCTAAGCTAGACGCTTCACCTACCTAGAGAATAGAATGAGTTGCCCGCCTAGTCTTACTAAGAGTTTGAATTGCTCCAAAATCTCGGTGCCACTATTCTTGACTCTTAAATCCCACTTCATTGGAGAACAAGAAAATCTTCAATCAAACAATACTTACATGGTTCTATCCCAATTCTCTTCTCATCTTCTTATCTCATAGAACAAAGAATTTCCCATTTCTCATTCTCTTCTATCCCTTTTCTCCAATCTCTAAGGGATCAAAAGAATTTCTCAATTCTTCCTATTTTCTCTCCTCTTTCTACATTCTCTAAGGGGACAAAAGAATTTCCGCATTCTTCCTCTCTTCTATCTCCTTTCTATAATCTCTTAGGGAACAAACGAATTCCCAAATGTTCCTCTTTTCGATCTCCTTTCTACAATCTCTAAGGGAATAAAAAAAAAATTTCAATTCCTCTTTCTTTCTATCTCTTTCTAGATGTGGGGGTCTGATTACATAATTGATTTGGATTACTTATTGAGGATGCAGTTATTTGGCAAATTTGGGATATGTGATGATTCATACAGTGAATCAGTTGGTAAATCTCATGGGCATACAGTTGGTAATTTGTGGTTCATAATGTTGAGAAATTCGTTGACTGGAAGAATTGATGGAGCATGGATTATGCCTCTGATATTGTTTGTTAATCAGTTGCCGAAGTTTGATGGGGTGTATTTGAGTTGTCTGTGGTTACTTTAATCTCTCTCTGAATCAGTAAAAGGTTTAGCAAGTCTTCATTGGAGAAAAATGATGGAATATTGGAGTTGGTACTCTTTTTAATATGCCTCAAATTGGCCAACTTTGCAGGGTTATGCTTCACATAAGTACTCTTATGTCTCAAGCTTTGGATTTTTGTGTTACAAACAAAACAAAACAAATGTAGTCTACTCTGCTTCAACTACGTACAGCAAAATTCAACGCTTTTCTGCTACTTTGGTTTAAGCATTGTTCCAATCCCATGGTTGGTTTCTCCACCCATGATCTTGCAGGGGATGTTAGAGTATGAAGAGCTAGGATTGTGACAAGTGTCACTTAGTCATTGACTGATGTTAGAATTAGGTAGTAAGCTCTGTTGTAATCAGTTAGAGCCTTATAAAGCTAAACAAGCTATAAAGCTTAACTCTCTGTATTTAAACTCTCAAGGAAAAAGGTAAAGTGATTTACGAATCTCTTGGCACGTGCGTTCCTGCTTGCTCGTACAGTTTTTTTTGTAGTAGGATGAAGGAACTGATTATGCGGGTGTGTTTTTTAGGTTTTATTACTTATTTGAATTGGTTGCTTGTTTTTCTAATTTCCCATTTTGTTTTTGCAAATTTTTAGTTGTCAGCATTTTAATTGAGTAGTAAATTTCACTCTCAGTTTTGCTTTTGGCTCTCTTCTCATAAGTGTGGAGAAATAATAAAGTACTTAATTTGAAGTTTCAGATGCTAAAATAGGAGTGCCAAAACCCCTACCTTTAAAATTGGGTGGCTTATTATGCGAAAAACAAACCCACTCAATGTAGCTTCTTATATATAGAGTAATTTTTGTATGTTCCGGATGCCTGAAATTACTCTCAAATTCCTAATCAATGAAAGAAAAGTTAGTGCTCCTCTAAAACAAGAAACTATCTTCAAATAACCAAAAATAAAAAGGAAAGATAATTTTCATACTCAATTAGAAAAAAGAAACAGCGTGACAAGGAAATTTATAGAGTTAAAAGAAAGGAAAATAATAATAATAATAATAATAATAATAATAGTGATCAATCTATACATGTGGTCTTCTA